GAAATTTTATATGTAACGTTTCTGATAACATCTTACTTTTTTAGGACCAGCTTGGTTGATTTCTGTAATTCACATTTTTGCCTTCCCAAGTCACGTTGTCAGGTAATTTAACCGGTCTCAGTTCTAACAATGTTTATTCCACTTTTCAGTGATAGTCCAACTAAGAACACAACAGTAGTTCAAAATCAGATCTCAGAAGAAGAGAAAGCCACGCTGCAGGTAATATAAGAGGATGATGTCTTTTTTTATGAACTTTGATAATTTGAATAAAGCAAGAGATGTAAAACATCTCGAAATTTTTTATTTTGTCAGCAAAGGCTCAAAGAGTTTGAAACAACTCTCAGTGGCACTCCTAAGGATCAAGCTGCTCTGGAGGTGAGTGAAGACATGCATATGTTGTGCATACTATTAAATATCTTCTTCATCGGCATTTAGCCATTCATCTCCCTGTAGGCTGCCAATAATAATCAGGGAACAACTTAAACTAATAATCAAGTAGCTAAGGATTATGAAAATTTTGAAATGCTTTTGGTTGCAACAACTCCTTTTGGTCTCATTTCACCTATTTAAACAAGCCTTACCTCTATTCTAAGCTTTCATTTTTTTCTTCTCGAATGAGTCTAATCTCCACATATATTTAATTACATGAAACTTTTCCTGTTCGCTTTAACTGATTCACTGAAGTTGTTAATGCGCACATAGTAAGCTGAAAACAAGATACGCTTCCTCTTCTGACTTATTTATAACGCTGAAAATAAGTTGGGGCGCTATGCAGGGCGCAGCTGTGACACTGACTGAACTAGGAGAGTATTCACGGGCTGCTGCATTTCTTGAGAAACTGGCTAAGGTTTGTTTCTCGCATGCTTTTATATTTTCTTATGTCAAGTCATTCGTTTCACAAGAACATGCTGATCCGAGACTTAGCTAATAGTGCACAAAGTGGGATTCTTTCTCTGTAGGAGAGACCAACTGACCCTGATGTATTTAGACTGCTTGGAGAAGTAAATTATGAACTTAAGAACTATGGAGGCAGTATCGCTGCATACAAAATATCTGAAAAGGTAAATGCTCTCAAACTTTGTGGATTAAGCTTTTTTTTATAGCCTTTCTGTTTTCTAACTTGCACTGAACTAATAGTTGATACATATTAAGATTGTCGGAAAAATATCTTGTGAGGACATAAGATTTGAACTTATGCCAAGTATAGCTGCTGCTACAATGTATATGTTGTTAGTTAGGGCAGTCAATTTTTCTATATATTCTAGTGATGTCCTGTTTTTTGTTCTAATTACCCTAGGTTTCTAAAGGGGTTGATCTTGAAGTCACACGAGGCCTCATGAACGCGTATCTAGCTGCTAAGAAACCAGACGAGGTAAATCTCTTTCCACGAGATATGATTATGTTACCTTTTTGTCTCAGAAGCTTAATCTTAATTACTCTCAACTTCTCCTTTGATCCTTTTGTCACTTTTGTTGTGATTCTCAGGCCGTCAAATTTCTTCTAGACACTCGTGAACGTCTGAATACAAAGAAAAGCAGCACAGCAGACAGTGTTACCGGTGAAACTAATTTAGACCCAATTCAGGTGACTTGGTTTCTTGGTAATTGACCTTAACATATTATTCTGGTGACAACGAGTTTCAAACTGGCTTCTACCATCTTAGCATAACCTGTTACCTTGATGAAATAGACAATTCATCGTGTTCACTGGCTTATTGATTTTTAAACGTTGGGGAAATATTTGCTCAGGTGGAGTTGCTTCTCGGAAAAGCTTATTCAGACTGGGGACATATCAGCGACGCCATAGCTGTTTATGACCAGCTTATCACTGCTCATCCTGAAGACTTCCGAGGCTACTTGGCTAAGGTGATTTTCTTGTCCACACCTCAAAAGCTCAAGAAGTTGAGTCATACTTGCCCATAAACTCCATGTGAAATTGTATTCTAGGGAATAATATTGAGAGAAAATGGAAGCAGAGGAGATGCAGAAAGAATGTTCATCCAGGTGAATCACCATTTAACCTTCTTCATTCCAGTACAGTTCGAACTGAATAAAAAGATATACGACCCATAGCATCTAACTTATCATTAATGTGTAGGCACGCTTTTTTGCACCAGACAAAGCTAAGGCTCTTGTGGATAGATACTCCAAACTGTGATCACTATTTGATTCTGTGTATATACATGCACATGGGCTTTTGAGTTACTAATATGAGTCAGATTCATCTATGAGACTAGTGTACAATACAAGTATTATCAAAATGAAGCCACAGAACCAAAAAGTTCAGGAACTGTTATCTAGATAATAAAAAGGTAACAAAAGAGCTACACCAAATATGAAGACATTAAATTCCAACTGATCTTCATATGGCTAGGCATTGAAGCTACAAACCGCAAGAGATCTGGTTTATCAATGATTCCTGTGCGAATCGGCTCTGCTTCCTGTTGGTTCAAGACATGGAGGAACTTGGCAATGTTTGGAAGTACCATTTCTCGGCAATGGAGATGTAACAAAGGAACTTTTGACAAAACGCTTCCCTTTTGAACATCAAGACCTTCTGGTCTGCGCAGTTTATATGGTTTCCCAGTTGTTGGTTCGATATCTACCTGAGGCATCTGTTTCCATCTCTTGTGAACAAACCAACCGTATTTATAATCCCCTACTATTGGAGTTCCAAGAGCTTCAGCACAGTGTACACGTAGCTGTTTTTAGAAGGTAAACTTGATCAAAAGAGAAACAAACAGAATCTTTCGCAAAACTGGTAAAGAGGATTAGCAAAACTGGTAAAGAGGATAGCGAAGTTTAATAAGTACCTGATGCTTTCTGCTAGTAATAGGACGAAGTTCTAACCACGAACACCCATTGATCATAGGTCCTAACACTCTATACTCTGTTATTGCTTCTTGTGAAGCTTCAAAGCACGAACCCTGAGCCAAAACCACCCTGTCTGTTTTACCATCGTCCAAAAGCACCTGAACACAGGTTTTTGAATCATTCTCTAATACAAGCAGTGTGTAACCAAGTAGAGGTTATAATGAGATAAATACTTTTGAAAGGGGGGCTGATATTAGTCCTTCTTTCTCCTTTGGAGAACCAATCACCAATGCCCAATATTGCTGATACATCGCTTCACAAGATTTGTTCCAAGCCTAGGATCGTGCAATATTTACAAGTCACTTAACAATTTTATGCCCAACCTTACTAGAACGTAGTGGTCAGAATTTCAGATAAGTTCTTCTTACCTTACAGCTTGAGTTTCTCCCCTTGTAATCACTGAAGACAGAGTGGAGATAACCAATACTCTCTTTGTTACGACCCATTACTAAGAGGCCACTAGTTTCCCTATCAAGACGATGTACCTGACCATTGAAAGTCAAATAAGTCAGAAACCAACAGTTTATCAAGATAACTAACAAAACCCCAAAAGAAGGGAGTTTACCAATCTGGGACCTTCATCGTTACCAAAAGACAAAGCTGCAGCTGCAAGTGCATCCATGCTGTTATGTATAGGGACATTTCCCTGAGACAAGCAACGATAACTGAATATGCAGCTGCTGCTTAATCAACAAGAGAATATAACAGCTTCCTTCCATGAAGTCATTCTGCAAATAAAAAAATCTATTACCTTGACTGGAAGCTTAGGTGGCTTATTAAGAACTATAATAGCAGAGTCCTGCAGTAGAGAGAAAAACAAGGTCAAAACTTGTTGTATAACCATAAGAGACCAATAACTGTTTGAAATCATGTGTATAAACATGCCAAATCCAGAAGAGGTTCTCAAACGGGAGTCACCTTGAACCTGACAAGCCTTTGAAGATATGCGATTTCGTCTGCGTTTGGATACAAGGTTCCACTTGGTATAGTATCATATCTCTTAGAAATCCTCATCTCAGAGATTGACACAGGCAACCAGATTTTATCTCCTATTTGCATTACCTCGTCATGCTTAATCTGCAGATAAAAGTGTACCACTATTATTAAACCCAATACAAGCGAATGATCACACCAACAACAACAAAAAGAACAGAGATCTATTGAACCTTTCTCATGGGTCTAGCTCCATCTTCATTCTCTCTTGAAGCATCCCTACGACCTCGAAACTCCATTTGCACCTACCACAATAAAACGCAACCAAATTAATATAATTTTAACGAAATTCATGTTGAAGGTCAATCTATTAGCGGATTCTATCTGAATTTCTTTAGACAATTCCAAAAGAATAATCTAACAACAAAAGGTCAATAAATTTTTTTTGATCAGAAGTAATGAAAAGTGTTACCAGAGACACTCACAAGGCCCTTTGTGAAATGAGTTTGAATAGCCTTATCATGAATTTCTTCGAAATAGTACTTGACCCAGCTTATGGCTGTGACGTGGTCGCCGCTATCTCCGTCGTCTCCGTTATCAACGGCGTTTTTGCCAGGTAATGGAGGACCGGGGAATGGCGGCAGGGATATCAACTGACGTGGCAATGGTCCTTGCTTCGGTGGTCCCAGGTGTGCTACGTTGTTCGTTACGCGGATCACCGTCGATGGCGGCGGAGCGAGTCTCGAGTATCGCCGTGTTACAACGGCCATGTAAATCTGACGGAAGCTTGTCTTGGCCTTCCACATGGGGGTTTATCAGAAAACCGAAGGACTTTGAGTCTAAGTCAGAACTGCCGGCTAAACGGCGGTAATTCTTCGCGCGCTACGGCCGAAGAAGACGAAGAGAGAACGAAACGGTGAAAGCAAAATGGGCCTGTTGGGCTTTCAGTTCTTTACTAGCTGATGCATCGATCCAACTGGGTCGTGCGTGTTAAACAATATTCAAGGGTTTACTAGTATGTCCTGTTAAGCAACTACTGTTAAGCAACTACCGCAGTACCGCTCATGAGATTGTACAACTAAATTATTTAATTTTGTGAATAAAAATATTTCTCTTCAATAACTGATTTATGTTTGCAATTACACCAAACAATAAACTGGAAAAACAATACGAACGGAATAATGGTAATATGATTATAAAAAAAAAACTGTACCCCAATAGGTTTGGACATTAATGATAATAATTTATTGAATTGAGAGGTACACCACATCAAATATATGACTCACATTGGCTGTACCTTATTCCCATTGAAATAAAAAAACATAAAAAACAACGAATCAAACATATTACACAGCGCAGCACAACAGCACAGCCGGAGAATCATGACGCTCACAGAGCTAAACTCAATCGATCGAACAAACCGATAAATAAAATACCGACCACTATGATAGTTGTTTGGTTCAAAAACACAAGAAAGAGAACATGAATGAAACCTCTTTCTCCAAAAACAACCCAATTGGGATGATTTTTAGACTTGCGGTGGAGACGGACACAGCTTACCGAGTTTCATCCTCCAAGGCTCGGAATCCAGCACTGAGATCGTCGTATAATTTCTTGAATTTTGCCACCAGTGTATCCTCCCCTTCTGCTGGGTCTTCGAACTTCTGAGACCTGTAATTTCCACATTCCGTTTGATTAGAGCGCTATCTTATAAATTCAAAAAGACAATTGAGGGGAAACAAGTAGTTTGCTTACACTAAACGGTAGAAAAGATCTCCCAAGCGGTGCTTGATGAGAGTGTAAGTAATCTTTTGACCGTCCATTCCAGCTGCTCTCTCAACCGCCTGTGTATGACAACATTTAATTGAATTATAGACAAACCAATTGACATAATAAATCCCCACTTCGCATAGAAGATCATTTATGAATCATCTCATCTTATTTACCTGGTTGGCTAGGTTGTAGAAATGGATAATGTTACGCATCATCCACACAGACTTGTAGAAAGGGCAGAACTTGTCATATCTGCCAAAGATTCATCCAAAAGGTTTAAGAGTGAATAACTCGTTGAGAGAGAAAGCGAGGGAACTAAACCAATACTAAGGGAGCCAACAAAACTTACGGTGTAAACGCGTTCTGAGCAAGATAGTCTTCCCTCAATAGCTTAGCTGTTTCCAAGGTGATTTTGTCACCTTCTGCTAGAGCATCTTTTCCTACAAGCTGCACACAAAACAGACTGTGCGGGTCAAAGAAAATTCCTTTCAGAAAGAATTACAGTATGTGCTAAGACTGGTTTTCTTCTATAATACAAGTCAAGTTTAGATGCCAAGACTATCGTTAAAAACCAATAAACCATAGCTGAGACAAGAGGACATTGATACATATACAAGGATAGGTGACACGTACCTGGACAATTTCATTAAGATCGTCTTCCCTCTGCAACACCTCTCTGGCCTTTGTCCTGATGTTGATGAAATCCGGATCGAACTTCTCATAGAAAGATTCCAATGCCTGAAGGAAAAAGAAACCAAATTTTATATACAAGAATCCGTGACAGTAAACCAAGACAAGTTTAATCTGAGAATATGTAAGCATACCGTTGAATACTTTGAGTAGGAAATCAACCAATTAACAGAGGGGAAATGTTTTCTCTGGGCAAGCTTTTTGTCCAAACCCCAGAAGACCTGCAGAAGAAAAGAAAAACATGAACAATGCTAATATGAGGCAGTTCTAAAACAAACCACCATCTGGTTCACCTCAATTGAGATAGATTAATAAGTACATCTACAATGGAAGATAGGGAAGCAGCCATGAACGAAATAGTTACCTGCACAATACTAAGGGTTGCAGAAGTCACAGGATCTGAAAAGTCTCCTCCTGGAGGTGAAACTGCACCAACAATTGTAACACTTCCATCACGTTCTGGTCCACCAAGACATTTTACTTTACCAGCACGTTCATAGAAAGATGCTAAACGTGCTGCTAGATAGGCAGGATATCCACTGTCGGCAGGCATTTCAGCCTAGAAAACAAAGCAATAAAGGTGTCAATAAACTGAAGATTAAAAAAAAAAAAAAAGGAGAAGTAAGATAATGACAACAAAAACATCCATATAGCAAAGTAAAACACAAAAGATTACCAGTCGTCCTGAAATTTCTCTCAATGCTTCTGCCCAACGGGAAGTTGAGTCAGCCATCATACTCACATTGTATCCCATATCTCTAAAATATTCAGCGATTGTGATTCCTGGAGTTCACATTACAAAGATAAAAAATGAGCATCTTAAATTAAAAAGTTTGTCACTGGAAGATGGGAAATGGGCTTCATAAAAATTAAAAAATCTGTATTCCTGAACATTACCTGTGTAAATTGAGGCTTCACGAGCAGCCACAGGCATGTTAGAAGTGTTGGCAACAAGTGTGGTACGTTTCATGACAGATTCCTCACGACCATCAGGCAACGTCATTGTCAATTGTGGGAAGTCCATAAGAACCTAATTTATGAGAAACCATCAGATCAAATGTCTGATTGGTATGAAATATATAAAGAATTAGATGAGAGAGATATACCTCCGCCATTTCATTTCCTCTCTCTCCACAACCAACATACACAACAGCATCGGAGTTGGAGTACTATGTATATAAGAACAAATTAGTTTTGGAAATTCAGTATATCCAGTTATTAAGTGAAACAAAACTAGATGTCACAACCTACCTTGGAAAGTGCCTGACTGATAACAGTTTTCCCACAGCCAAAAGCACCAGGAATGGCACAGGTTCCACCAAGAACGGAAGGGAAAAGGGCATCAAGGACACGCTGACAACAGGAAAAGAAAAACAATCAACCACACACATCTTCAATTGACTATCACCGTTATAAGAAAAATTTGTTAAGTAATCACCTGTCCAGTAAGTAGAGGAGTATCGGCAGCAAGCTTTGATGCAACTGGCCTAGGGGTACGTACAGGCCAGCTCTGACATATTATCAGCCAAACCAATTTAATAAGTTAATCAAATAGCTTAAATTTTATGTTGCAAGTAGGAAGATTAAAGATTCATGCAAACCTGAAGCATGGTGTAAGATTTCTTGATCCCCTGGAATTCGAGCTCTATCACTGTATCCTGGGAAACGAAAATTATCGACAAACAACCATGAGCAACAGGCAAAACATGATCTCCGACAGGAAGTGGTTACCCTTTGATCAATTAAGCCATATATTAACTTAAACGTTGAAGAGAAAGAAATCCAGGAAAGAAAACATTTTGGAATGTATAAACTTATCATTGTTTGAGCGTAACTTAAACTCAAACCTTAAGGGAATATTGACCAGCTGGAGCAATGTAAGTAATCTTCCCCATGGCATCAGGAGGAAGGGCAACATGGTGATTCATCAAAGTGTTCTCAAAGACGGTCTGCATTCCAGAGTTATATTTGACTATCAGAAAAAAATTATTCCCAGTGTAAACAAGGGAACACCACAGTAACTGTGTAAAATAAGTTCCCTTGCCAAAAGCATATTAAGGAGGACAGGACCAATAAACTTACAGCATACAAGTCACCACCAGTTATTGTGTCTCCCTCGACTGCAAACAAGTTGAATTCAGTTAACCATCAAGATTAAGACCATATGAAACACTTCATAGACAGGCATATGCAGTCAAACACATTACCAAATTTATTGGGCTGGAACTCCCACGGACAATCTTTGTCAAGAGCTGGGACAGACACACCCCGAGGAATGTACACATCACCGGATATTCTCGCAATAGTCTTCAAAGGCCTCTGTGTGATATGAAACCAAAGAATTGTGAGAGACCACAGTCTGCCGTTTGTAATGTAAAACAAATCATAAACGTCAGGAAATTCATGTCTGACAAGAATATAAATCCAACTGAACCTGAATTCCATCGAAGATATTTCCCAAAATTCCTGGTCCAAGCTCCACAGAAAGTGGCTGTAATTACAGGCCAAATTATATGTTAGCTACAGATGAATAACCCTAGAAACGAGAAAAGTAAGCCAGATAAAAAGAACTAACGAACCTTGTGCGTTCGAAGAACAGGATCATTAACTGTTAACCCAGCTGTTTCCTCGTAAACTGATGAAAAGGAAGTTGTCAAGTGTCAGTTAAGATATCTTACTTCTACAGAAGACCAGATGCAATAATTTGACAGATAAAAAAAAAAAGGCAGTAAAGTAAATGACACTAAGAAGCACATGAGAACAAACAAACCTTGGATCGTGGCAGAATCTCCTTCAAGACGGATGATCTCTCCAATCAAATTATCATGCCCAACACGCACTAACTCATACATAGCAGCACCGGCCATACCATCGGCAACAACAACAGGCCCTGAAACCTGCATCCCAAAACTTGTATATTACCAATCTGATTATGAAAATTAATTACGAAAAAGAAATGTCAAATCTCCGAGAACTATCAGATCAGATCATAATCAGAAATTCACAGACGAGCTACTAAACCGAGGCGGAATCAACCGATTCAATCACTGAGAACTATTAGATCAAATCTAGTTCTCCCACCAATCTTACCTGGCAAGCAGATCAACTATTTCATCCATCCAGCACCAAAAATTAACATCGCAGAACGGGAAAAACCAAATTGAAACCAGATCGAACGGAAACGGGACAATACCTTACGAACGTAACCATACTCGCTCTCCTTCTCATCGTCCTCGAAGGTTGTAAGCTTTCCTCCGTAAAACGCCGGCATTTTCTCAGCAATCAGAGATTCAAAAACTCAAATCCTATCGACCAAAAAATCAAAATTCACCTCCTACAAAATGCCGAGATCCGATCAAACAACAACAAATAAGAAATCGCCAAAACCTCGAAATAGAGATCAGAGATCGAGGAATAAGAAAACACTTGAAGGTTTTCCAAAGAGAACGATTCGATAAATCAGAAAGAAACAAAAAGGATCAGAGGGAGATAGAGATCCTAACCAGTGAACAGACAGGAAGAGTGGTCACAAGAAGAGAGAGAGAGGTGGAGGCACGTAGATATTGAAAGAGTTGGAGAAGTTGATCTGATTGACAAATCGTGGAGCAATCCTGTACATGACTCCTCACGATACGCTCCTAGATCTGACTTTGTCGTTAATAGCCACGTGACAGTTAATTTATTGGGCTTCATAATATCTAATTACGGCCCAATAAAGAGGTCCGTTTAGTCAACAAAGACATGCTTGAAAATCTCTCTGATCAATCCGGGAAAATCAAGTTATCAGTTAATTTTCTCGGGAAAAAAATTTCGGAAAGGGAAAGCAAGTTTTTTTGAAGTGGGAAGAGAGAGATGGGAGAAATGGGGAAGGCGATGGGATTGCTGATTAGCGGGACGCTTGTGTATTACCACTGTGCATATCGCAACGCAACTCTTCTCTCTCTCTTCGCCGATGTTTTCATTGTTCTCTTGTGCTCTCTCGCCATTCTCGGTCTCCTTTTTCGCCAACTCAATGTCTCGTAAGTTCTCTGAGATTTCGGCCTAGCTTTATCGATTCTCTCTGTTCATGGTGTTGGATTCGGTTCTTCGGTCTCCAATTTAGTGATTTGCTGTTTGGTGACCGGGAAGATACGAGATTATTTGGCTCGTTTCATCTGTTGGAAGTGTGATTGCTCTCTCGATGTCTCTGTCGAATTGGGTTTTGTGCACTCACTGGTGTTAATTTGATTGTGAAATTGATTTGCTTTTGAAGGCATGAAGTGAAACTAGTTCTCATTTTATTTATGATTGAATTAGTGATGCGTCGATCTTATTTCAATCATGCTGTCTTCTTCCGTTCTCTGTGATCAATGCACGAGTCATAATCCCAGAATTATCAAAGATTTTATGACTTCTGCTCTCTGTGTATATGTAATCTGTTTCAAGACCTTTGGCCCTTAACTTTTTCAACCACATCATTTACAACTCTATTAACTTTTCTCAAGGGTACCAGTGGATCCACTAGAGTGGCAAATATCACAGGATACAGCAAGTAACATAGTTGCGCGCTTAGCTAATACTGTTGGAGCAGCAGAAGGTGTTCTGAGGGTTGCAGCGACAGGACATGACAAGAGACTTTTTGTCAAGGCAAGTTTGTCCTTAGTTACCATGTACCATGTACAAGATACTATTACTATTCTTGGAGTAGATCATGCGTGAATCTATATGCATTAGCATTAATATTTGACCACATAAATTATCTTAGAATCCTGCTGTCTTTACCCAGTTATCATATAAATGCATTGCTGATTGTTAACTCAGTAATTGTGTTCTGTACTGAAGATGTTTCTCTTATATATTTCCCTTTAGGTCGTAATCTGCCTTTACTTCTTATCAGCTCTTGGGCGACTCATCTCAGGTGTAACCGTTGCTTATGCAGGTAATTCACATTGCGTCTCAAACTTATCAAAAGTTTCTTAAATGTGGAAGAGTGTGCTGTTATCTGATGAGTCACATTACATACCAATATTTGTCGGATTTCAGAGCATTTAATTGAAGTTGGCCTTTTGGGAAACTTTTCTTCATGCCTGTGTCAAATATTGCAAACCAATGATCTCTGACTAGTTCTTCTCCCTGAAACAGGACTATGGCTGTTCTGTCTCTCCATGCTCTGTCAGTATTCTCAGAATTCTCAATCTCTTGGAAACTGTGTACTTAAACGAGGAAATGCGGAGATTTTAGAACAAGAAGCACACTCTGATAAATAAGCTGTCTAGCTTTTGTTTATACTTTTTTTTTCTTTACTCATGCTCAATGAGTCAGTGCTCAGTGCTCGCATTTGCATAGCCTCAGAGTAGTTTCCCATTATGTGTACATTATTTGTATAATGTCTCTGGTGAAAATTGTAATGATAATGTTTCCCTTGCACACCATATGTAATTATTGTATTTACGGATCTTTAAGCATACACTGGCGTCAAACAAAACAGTCTGCAAAAAAGTTCTATGAGAACTGAATCTGCAAGCTAATGCGAATATATATATACAAGTGATTCAACAAAGTGACAAACTGTTATTAAGGAAGATTACATGAAAACACAGGGATAAGCAACAGGACCTTTTCTTATTTGAATTCACATTTCAGAACTGGATAGGATGTTCTGTAAAAAGTTTGCTTACTCTACCCTAACTAAGAGTCTAAACCATGTCACGTCTTTGCAGCTGCTCTTGGTGATTCGAATCTTCATTGATTGCTATTCTTAAAATCTACAAATCTTGAAGAGCCCGCAGGGCTTTGATATTTGTTTCATGACTTACCCCAAAGACTGGTTTGACGGGTATTGGGGTCTACCCTTCCTCGTCCTCAGAGTGAGATGCAGTTTTTGAAGCCGTCTCCGTCTCCATTGATTGAGGCTCTACTACACCTACAATTAAAAACAGAGGCAGATCAGGTTTTAAGAAATGCTCAAAAGACCAAACATTAAAGAAACATTGTACAACAAAAGACATCTTTGAGGCTACACGATCGCCACTAAGTAATGCAGACATCTGAAAGATCATTCTTTTATAAAACTGAGTGAGGTCATTCGACAATAAGCAACAAGAACAAGATAACTAACACTACAATTCAACTTCCCTCAACCATAAAAGAAGAAACTTGTTCCATGATCACCAAAATACCTATCGAAAATACTCTCTATGTTATTATTGATATCAAAATCTGTATGTCATTTCCATTAGTAAATCTGTAGTAACAATAAGCTAAGAAATACCTAAGTCGACATAAAAACAAATAAAGTGTTTGAAAACTAATGCAGATTATAGATAATACAAAAGTTCGATACTTGGTATGTAAAAACCAAAGCGTTTTCGAAACCAAAATCTATCAACATACAATTGGGATAAGAATAAAAAAAAAAAAAAAAAAAACCTTTGATGAAGTAATCAGAGGAAGGCCATCCTCGAACCGATGAGATTGAAATAGATTCTTCATCAGAGATAGGATTGGCCAGCTTCTCGACGAGCTTAGCGATCCCATGAGTCTGAGATCGAGGAGGTGGAACCCAATACGAAGCACCGGGAACAAAAGGGAGCCAATCCGGTGCGGATCGGCGAACCATTATCCGGTGGACAGCATCTTCCAATTTATGGAGAAGAGGATCCGATTGCGACTGCGATGCGGCGGTGTCGATCTCGTAGAGCTCAACGATGCGGTTAGACCGACGATTCGAAGATTGAGATCGGACGAAGAAGGTCTGAGATGAAGGGAGAAGAGAAGCTGCGGCGAAACGGAACCGAGAGAGAGAAAGTGAAGGAGAGAAAGATCGAGCCATTGTAGAGATCAGGAGAAAGACTCAAAGATGGTTTAGTTTTAGTTTAGTTTGGTTTGGTTGTTCCCTTTTCTTCTCTTAATAACGGATAAGGGGAGAAAAGAGCATTATTTATCGAAATCACCTTGTTATAAAAGTTTTTTCATTTTCCTCCCTATCTGAAAATTTTACTTTCTTTGATAAGAGTGGTCCTTTTCAAAACTAAAACATACAATATACAATATGAGTATACTGCAACATGAGACACGAAGCATATACTGATGTTCAAAAAAGAATTATACATACATGGTAGGATTTTAATTATGAAGAAATACAAGAATACAAGAATCCAAAAAAGGCTGGCTAGTCCACTTAGCCCTGGGCACGAAGCGAATATTCGAAAAATTTGTGATATTTGTTATTTGCTTCGCCTCGACCGAATAGTTGATTTTGCTATTTGCTTCGATTCGTAAATTTACGAGTATTCGGAACTTCGAATATTTTTCGTAATATTTGCGAATTACTTGCTTCGCTTCGCTTCGACCCATCTAATTTTTTTTGAAACAAAAAACATATAGTACATTAAAGTGCAAAATATGAAATATTAGAGGTTTTTATTTGACATATTTTCAAAATAAGAAGGAAATATAACCACCGTCCATAGAATTCTCACATTTTGTTTTTAATAATGATTTTTCTATTAAAGTTTTATTTGCTTAAAACCACCATTTAGCAAAAAAAAAAATCCAACGAGCCAAAATATAATAATTTGAATAATAGGCTTATCAGATATATACCCAAATCTATAAATACACATATTATATATATTATATATATTATATAATAATTTATATTTATACATATATATAAATATACGAAGCGAAGCGGATATTCGGTACTAAAAAAATCAATATTTATTATTTGCTTCGGTTTTTACGAATACTAGATTTTTATATTTGCTTCGGTTCAATATCTTATAGATATTTGAATTTTTCGAATCGAATCGAAACGAATATCGAAACGAAACGAATCTAACGAATATTTTGCCCAGGGCTAAGTCTACTCAAGGCCGGGCCGGCCTTAGTCACCTGAAGTTGGACTCTAACCCACATCAAAAAGTGGAGTCGTGATAACCAATTTACTCGGTTATTAGGAAAATATATAGCTAGCTATAATAAGATATCATAATTGATAAGAATACGCTCCTACTAGAAATAATTACAGTTCACAACCTTAGTTTTAGAACATATTATCAAAACTACCGAAACTGTTACCAATGAAATTTTGACAGAGAAGAAGAAAAAAAAGTGTGTTCTTCTCTTTTTCTTTCCTGAGTTGGTTGTCCCAAAAAGAAAAGGAAAAAAATAAAATCTCCACCGCTTTGAGAGAAAAAAGTGGGGAGAGGAGAGAGAGAGATTGAGACAACGCACCAACTGTTGCGGCTCAAAGAGATCTCGATCGGGATCCACTCGACGGAGATAGAGAGCTACGGATATGGGATCTCGGCTACTTCACTGTTACTTCCGTTTCGTCTTCTACTGTCACTCCCACAACTGCTGCAACTATTTTCCTTGATTGTTTCTTCCTCGGCGTTTCACTTTGAAACTTACAATACACTCTCGCTCTCGCTCTCTCTCTCAGGTGCGAATCGCCGTCATTTTCTCAGATTTGGATTTTTTTTTTGGTCAGTCTGTGATCATTTTTGGGGGTTTAGGTATTGTTTATGTGATTTGGGGATTTTGTTATACATGACGATCTGAGTTCGATTTCTGCTCAATCGCATTTGAGATGCCATATCCACAGAGATCTTACTGTCTTTCAAAGGAGTCAGGCTAATAGAAATTGTGATTAGGGTTTTGTTTTTTTTTCTCCTGGATTCTGGGACGTTATTTGTAGATCTCAAGTGATATTAGTATATTACAAGTTCTCAGACTAGATGTTTACCCATAGTCTTAAGTCTCAATGGTGCTGGATCTGTTAGATTAATGGGGAGGCTTTTTGAAAGGGAAAGTGAAGTGATAGCTAGACTGCTGATTTTTTGGGCATAGGACGTTGAATCTCTGTGATCTATTTTGATTTGTGGTGTTGGCAAGTGTTTCTCTTGTCACAGTTCTCTATCTGCCTTTTATCTTTATTTTTGCAAACCAGGTCCGTAAGTATGTTTTTCATTTCTCATGGATTCCTGTTTTGTTCTCGCAGGGATTTAAATCTTCACGTTGTCAGCACATTGTTTGTGGTGCTAATCTATTCTCTATCCAGTTTGGGGTTTCCTGAAGAAAAATATCAATGGGTTCAAGATACGCATCTCACCAGCTCAGCAATGGGCTCTTTGTTTCTGGTCGGCCAGAGCAACCTAAAGAAAAGCCTCCAACAATGAGCTCAGTAGCCATGCCATACACCGGGGGTGATATCAAGAAATCAGGAGAATTGGGGAAGATGTTCGACATTCCGACAGATGGGACTAAGTCAAGGAAGTCTGGCCCCATAACTGGAGGTTCTTCAAGAAGTGGTGCGCAATCAGGTCCCGTGCCTAATGCAACTGGTCGTATGTCTGGCTCTTTAGCTTCTGCTGGGTCAAATTCAATGAAGAAAACAAATTCTGGACCTTTGTCTAAGCACGGGGAGCCTTTAAAGAAATCCTCTGGTCCGCAATCTGGTGGTGTAACAAGGCAAAATTCCGGCCCTATTCCTATACTCCCAACTACAGGTCTCATAACATCTGGACCAATTACCTCGGGACCTCTAAATTCATCTGGGGCTCCTAGGAAAATTTCTGGTCCTCTAGACTATTCTGGTTCAATGAAGACGCATATGAATTCCGTTGTCCACAACCAGGCGGTAACTACCCTTGGTCCGGAAGATGACTTTTCCTGCATGAACAGCTTCCCCAAGCCTGTGATGTGGCTGGTGATCCTTATATTTGTAATGGGATTCCTTGCTGGAGGCTTCATTCTTGGAGCAGTTCACAATGCAATTCTCCTCATTGTTGTGGCGGTCTTGTTCACAGTTGTTGCTGCACTTTTTATTTGGAATATTTCTTGTGAAAGACGTGGTATCATAGATTTCATCGCTCGTTATCCTGATGCTGATCTTAGAACTGCCAAAAATGGTCAATACGTGAAGGTCACTGGGGTAAGTATCTAAACATTGCTCCCAGAAATTGCTGGTTTTGTGCATTTACTCTTTGGTGCTGCATTGTCATGGTAAATGACAGAAATATGATTTGTTCGTCCTTTCATGGGAATGCTATCTCTACTATGTTTATAACGTTGGCTCTTTGCTATTCTTTATTGAAAAGGTTGTCACCTGTGGTAATGTGCCGCTTGAATCATCCTTCCATAGAGTTCCCAGATGTGTTTACACGTCTACTTGTCTATATGAGTACCGTGGATGGGGTTCAAAGCCAGCCAGTGCTTCACATCGTCGCTTCACATGGGGTCTGAAATCAGCAGAGGTTAGTAGTGGCCTAATGATATTTCATTTCACATAACAATGCTCTCTTTTAGCGTAAAAGGTCTCTAAATGCATAAACCTTGCACCTACAATCGATTGCAGAGGCATGTGGTAGACTTCTACATTTCTGATTTCCAATCTGGGCTCAGAGCATTGGTCAAAACTGGAAATGGTGCAAAGGTAACACCTCTCGTCGATGATTCTGTTGTCATCGATTTTAAGCCAGGAAGTGAGCAAGCCTCTCCAGACTTTGTAAGGTGGTTGGGTAAAAAAAATTTAACCAATGATGATCAAATAATGCGGCTTAAAGAAGGGTATGACACCACAACTTGTAGAAAAGAATGATTAGAAATTTAAAAAAACTTTAAAGAGTTGCTAAAAAATCTGTTGTTCTCTGTGATATTTCTTTCGTCCGCAGGTATATCAAAGAAGGAAGCACAGTAAGTGTGATTGGAGTGGTTCAGAGAAACGACAACGTGTTGATGATAGTCCCAACTACAGAACCATTAGCAGCTGGTTGGCAATGGAGTAAATGCACATTCCCTGCAAGTCTTGAAGGAATCGTATTGAGATGCGAAGATTCATCGAATGTAGATGCAATTCCTGTCTGATGCAGTAGTAGTAAGTCTTTTATTTTTCTTCTTCCACGGTTGGTAGACGAAAATCTCACTGTTCCACTTCGGCTTCATCAATATTTTTCATGAAATCTGAAATGTGTTCTTGGTTGGTGGCTTTTCGCTCTCTACTAATGATGATTCCTTTGGTTGGTGGTTTTACAGTAGTGTTTTCTTTTTCTTTTCTCTTTTCCTTTAATATTTCTTTTTTTTTATATCAAGTTATTATTATTACATTAGGATGATAATGGTGGATGTGGATTTCTTTTCTATGACTTAATTTGTGTTGTGGGGGCACTCTTCTTTGCCTGATGGTTTGTAATTGTAAAGCTCTTCTAGTTATTCTTTTTCGACCGAATTTGTGATCTAATATAATGGGATTATCTTCTTCGTTTGGAATGTAATTGATCCTGTTGCATGTTGAAGGTGTTTCTCAATTCCTCATTTTTTATTCTTCCTGAGATCTGACTCTTTCCAAAAATACTACAGAATCATCTCATCGCACAAATGAGTGGCATAAACCACTGAAATGGCGAATTACAAACAATTTATCTTCGGTCTCATGTATACTTTACTTAGCTCAACTGCCAAATTGTAAAATATACATCTTTGTTCCAACGGTGATCAAACAACCTTTGGATTTCGTTGAAACTTGTAATTTACAGAGCTAGACACAGTATAAGAAAGACTTCCTTTTGACTCAAAGAACCATGAAGAACTTCAAATATGAAAAACGAGTTTTATCCTATTAGTAATGATACAGTGATTCAGATGAGATTACAGCTTAATGGAGACGAAAACACAATTTTGTAATTATGAGGGGGAAGAACCAGCAAAATATAAACTTTCTTTTAACTTTGATGTTGGGATAGATTTCATCACATGTAATGTTATTTGGATGAAAAGAGAACCTCTATGCACCACTTGCGTAAAGACGGGTCCATTCCTTGGCTGCACAAATATAGTTCACAAGGATGTGAGACACCAACGTAAGTTTTAAGAAGAAAGCAAGAGTAAACAGAGTTATGTATCAGGTTAATATCAAAGTTGAGAGTTTAGATCAAATCACCAGTCTCCACAGCTTCTGCCTCATTACTCTTCCAATGCTTAGCAATGTTCTCAGACAGCGGATCATCTGGATTTGGTGCACTCAGAAGAGCTTGAATACTTTTTAAGGATTGCACACAACAATAGAATCAGAAAAAAGGAGTCAAGTCCCAAGAAACCATTGGTTTTTGGCAGGATAGAATCTAATGTAATCAGCTCATATACCTTAAGAGCACGGTTCGTATTTGTAGTGCAGGGCTCCATTTGTCCTTCAGAATATCAAGACATATTCTTCCAAGCTGTATAAGCAAATAGACAGGTTCAGGATCATGTGTTTGGTTGTGTGGATAGTCAAGGAAACCCAAAAAAAAAGGAAGGATTTAGAACATACCTTGTCAATGTTAGGATGGTATATCTTTGTGAGAAACCTAACCTGTTACAAAATAAAATCATTAAAAGAGCTAGCAAGTGTTAGAATATAGAAAGTGCCCTACACAAACCCTTTCTAAAAACTCCAAGGTTCAAGAACTGAATCCTCTAACCCCATATGACAAGAGAAACACTGACAAGAAATGAGACATACATTTAAGTTACACATAATCCACCCAGAATCACCCGTCCTCAAAGATCATTTGGTATGTGACAAATTACCAACCAATATATTTACTTAATAACTAGATTCTTAGTGACTACGTATATTCAAATCACCATATGATGCAAGGACTTACACAACTTTATAACCTAGAATGAAAATAAAAGATTGCAGATCCAATAAACTTACCTTGGGAGCTGCCATGGGGTATTCTTCAGGCAAAAAGAGCTCCAACTTGAAAACTCCTCCTAGAAAAATGGAATGAAGAAATATTTAAATTTTCGATAGTGAGCAGAATTTATTAGAAGGAGAAAAAAAGTACAAAATGAAACTTAGAATCTAGTACGCAACAGCACCAGGAAACAAATAAGATGGGTGATAAAAGAAACTAAGAACAGTTGTACAAGTTAATAATTATGCTTATCAGTCCATTGTCACCAACAATCAAAAAGAGCATTAGCAATATTTGCTTGACGTAAACATTGTACTCCTCAAAGCTGAGACTCAGATTATCAGAAACTATTTTATTACTTCCGAAGAAATCTAAGTAGCACACATAAAAAGAACATTTTACGTACAGATACGTTTGTGCACAAGAAAAGAAAAAGAAAACAAAAAACAATTACCTTCATAAGGTGATTGTGAAGGACCAAGAACCATAACATTGAAATAGCGCATATTGTCCTCAGAAGGAGAGGCGCTTATACCGGGAGCTGCAGCAATCAACCGAGCAAAACTTAGTTAATAAATCAGACTATACCTTATAATCTACAACCAAATTCAAACTCCAAAGACCAACACATTTCGGATCCACACAATTCAACCATAGAAACCATCACTATAACTCAAAAAGGCAGGTTTTACCCGGTTCACTGAGCAGACGTTGAGTTTCCTATCAAATTGCAAGGAAAGCCAAAAATTAGAAAACCAAGTGACGAAAATTACAACTCAAAAACAAAAACAAAAAAGAGATAGGAGAAGACAAAACCTTGATGATTCTTCGCGGCAAATTACTGTTGGCCATTATAGCTTGCCGCAGATTCCTCCGATCGATCTAAGAGAAGTTTAGGGTTTTTTTAGAGGAGCTGATTGATTTGATAATGGAGAACAAGTTCGTAGTCGTCGTCGTGCCTCGAATCTGACGTGATCCTCGATGATAATTTTAATTCGATTTCCTTTTTCTCTCTATCTTTAAAATTCTACACTCGGTAAATGAAAAATAAATAAAATAATATTATCAATTCTCTTCTTATTACATATTTTCCCGGCACTTTTATTTATTGTTAGCTTTTCCTTAAAGTCTCATATATTTATCGATTTTTCATAATAGTTTTTAAAGTTACATGTATGTCCACATTTCCTTTTATTACAGATACGTCCCTCTTTTCTTGTTTAGAAACATAACATAACTTTTTACCACATATATTTTCCAAAATGATTTGTTTTTACCTCTATAGTTGACATCCCCTCTAGTAATTTAATTATTCAAGCGTTCTTCAAAGTTTTCTTACAAGCTTTTTTTGCTCAAACTTTGTTTGTACACCCTCATTAAAATCTAAAAAAAAAAAAAAAAAAAAAAAAAAAAAAATTCTTACTAATAATATTTCCAGTGGTTTTATTTGATATTAATGCACCCACTAGCCTTTGTTTATTACACTTGTACACAATGTTAATTAAAAATTTGCCTTTTGAAAAAATTGCCTATTGTTACCGCTCAGTTTTTCTGGGCTTTTTATGTCCGTGAAACTCCTTTTTAGATAGTAGGCCCATATTTATTAATGGCCTGTTTGTGAGTTATATATCATATATATATATATATATATAATAAAATAAAATATATATTTCTTTTTCTACTAAAGTATAAAGTAGTGACAATGATACAGAGATGAAAATAAATTATTGATTATTAAATATCTTAATAGTAATTTGCACTTTAGCAAAGAAAAATGAAAAGCATGTATTACACAAACACAAGTTGGCACATGGACCGGGCGGAAAAGAATCATTAGAACATTAAGGAAAAAAACGTTGCCATTTATTTTTAATTAAGATGAGCCGTCTGGTATTGGGCCACACATGGTGTTCATGTCCAATCTATCCATTGTCCGTATATATTTTTGTTGTAAAGTATCTTCGAATTTCTGTAGTTATATTCTTCATTAACAGCCGCCTAACAATGAACGATAATTTATAATTGTCTTTTTCCTCTACATTTATAAAGGATAGTTATCTCAAATAGCATGAATGTGAATTAATTTCGAATTATATCTATGCTGCTAGCTACCATGAGTCAATAAATAGTTTAAACAAATCCAGCGAGACGACCCAGTGGCATATTCCCGGTGGCTCGTAATTAAAAAATGCGTACGTCGGGCCTTTCCAGTTCCCACATACTCTAACTGCAGTCTACCCACTTACCTAATGTTGCTATCATTGTTATGTGCAACCAAAAAAAAAAGAAAAAAAATTTATAATTAAAACTTAAAATCCGACAAAACAAGAGTACAATTTATATTAGCTCGCTTTATATGAGACATATGATTATTATACACTACACTTTACACTGAATAGAATCGATCATTTATCATACATCCACTAAAGTGACGAGGTTTCAAAAAAATTAAAATAGTGACGATCGAGGTTTCAAAGACTTCCGTGCATACTATAAAAAGAAGCTCACTCTGTAGTCTGTACACCCAAAACACACCATCATCCATCAAAACACACGTAACAAAAGTAAATAAAATATGGAATTCTCAATCACATTAGGTCTCTTCTTCACTCTCTCCATCTTCTTGATCGGAGCACTAGCCAAAGTTCCTGTTGACGACCAATTCCAGGTGGTCAACGAAGGAGGCTACACCGATTACAGTCCGATCGAATACAACCCCGACGTACGTGGCTTCGTCCCCTTCAGCGACAACTTCCGTCTCTGTTTCTACAACACAACCCCGAACGCATACACTCTCGCTCTTAGAATCGGAAACAGAGCCCAAGAATCCACTCTTAGATGGGTCTGGGAAGCAAACAGAGGCTCACCGGTCAAAGAAAACGCGACGTTGACTTTCGGAGAAGACGGAAACCTTGTACTAGCCGAAGCCGACGGTCGTGTGGTCTGGCAGACTAACACTGCTAACAAAGGCGTCGTGGGGATCAAAATCTTGGAGAATGGCAATATGGTAATTTACGATTCCAACGGCAAATTCGTATGGCAGAGCTTTGACTCTCCGACCGACACGCTTCATGTCGGACAGTCTTTGAAACTCGACGGTCGGAACAAGCTCGTAAGCAGACTGTCTCCATCGGTCAACGAAAACGGACCGTACAGCCTCGTCATGGAAGCCAAGAAGCTAGTCTTGTACTACACGACAAACAAAACTCCGAAACCAATCGCTTATTATGAATACGAATTCTTCACCAAGATAACACAATTACAGTCTATGACGTTCCAAGCCGTTAAGGATTCCGACACAACGTGGGGTCTACACATGGAAGGTGTCGACTCTGGTTCAAAATTCAATGTCTCCACGTTCCTCTCGCGGCCAAAACACAACGCGACGCTGAGTTTTCTCCGGTTAGAGTCTGACGGAAACATCAGAGTTTGGAGTTACAGTACGTTGGCGACAGCCACTGCTTGGGATGTGACGTACACGGCGTTTACTAATGATGATACTGACGGTAACGACGAGTGTAGGATCCCTGAGCATTGTTTGGGGTTTGGTCTGTGTAAGAAAGGTCAGTGTAACGCTTGTCCTAGCGACAAAGGGCTACTTGGCTGGGACGAGACCTGTAAAACTCCGAGTCTCGCAAGTTGCGATCCCAAGACATTTCACTACTTCAAGATCGAAGGAGCTGATAGTTTCATGACAAAATATAACGGTGGGTCATCCACGACGGAGAGTGCGTGTGGGGACAAGTGTACGAAAGATTGCAAATGCTTAGGGTTTTTCTACAATAGGAAGAGTTCGAGGTGTTGGTTGGGCTATGAGCTCAGGACATTGACCAGAACCGGAGATTCTTCGCTGGTTGCCTATGTCAAAGCTCCTAATGCTAACAAAAAGTCAACTCTTTGAGGTGTTGTGTGGTACTGTGGTTTAGTAAGGTCAAATTTCGTTTGTTTACCCTTTATGTACTGATTCTCAAGCGACATCGCAATAAAGTGGAGTGAAAGAAAAAATATTAAACAAATTTCTGATATATCTAGTCTATTCATCAAAACACGATGCGTTGACAGTACCCCACGTACGTACGTGCACGCAATACGATTTTTGACATGTAAAGGAATTATGGAATTGAAAAATATTTTTTAGTATTAAATAGTTTTGCTACGTAGCCAAAATCTGAAAAATAAAAATAAAGAATGGATAGCGACTTTGCTTCACGATAGAGAGAATATGATGCGTGCGACGATGCTTAATTGCCGCGTCGTCAACAACACTGGTTTTACTAGTTAAAAAGGAAATAGAAAAATAAAAAAGGAAATAGCATACATGAATAACGGTCTCTTTTAAAATTTTACCAAGTACAGGAAAAGGAAACAAATCTTGGAACGCCAGCTGGATAAAAGAGTCAAAGTTGTTTGACTACCGACTTTGTACATTTAATCACGACCGTCAAAACTTGCTTGATCAGATCTCGACCGTCAATAGCCTTCATACTTCATCTATAAAATATGCTCTCACTCTTTTTTATCAGTAAATCACATACCATATTTTATTTTTCCTCTTCGTCGATTCCTCTCTGTCTCTCCGCGCGTTCGTCTCGTTGGTGGTGACATTCTTCTAACCCTTCTGATATCATCTGTTTAGGTAGTTTTCTTCTGATATCTCTCGTTCTACATCTTCCTTCTTCTTTTTCCCTTTTTTTGACTTTCTGAGAGTTGCTATTGTTGGGGAGGTATGATTTGATCTCCTGTATGTTGTGTCTTATTGTATTTTCCAGATTCTCTTGCAGCGTACACACATTCAGCTGAGGTTACTAACGGCTGTCTTTCCTCCCTGTTTTTTTTTTTTTTCTGCTTTTGTATTTCTCATGGTACATCTATTCCTACTGTTTGATTTTATTCTTGTATGCTTGTCACCGTGCCTTTTTATGTGAAGTGATCCCCTCTTTAAAGGTATGTTTAAGGTTTGTAATGATATTCTTCTAAACTCGTCTCTGTTTTTTTTTCAATCGATCATTGGATATACTACTTGCTTGTTTATCTTCTGGTGTTTTCTTTCTAAATTGCATCGGCGGTTTTTTTTCCTTAATATGTTCGTCGGATTTACTTGTCGTTATGTTATTTCAGGGCTTGGATAATCCTTTTTTTAATCAATGATGGCTATGATGAATTCTATGTGCTACGGCTCAGGGGTTTCGTTCTTCATTCTTAATTAATACGTCTTTTACTGTTTGTTTTGTTTTGTTTCTTACGTTTCTTTCTTCGTCTTGCAGGTGTTTTGGAAGCGAACTATGATCTGAGCATCGCTTACTCTTCTCCATGGACGTTCGATTTCACGGGTTCCATGCTCTAAACGCATCTCTATTTGTTTCTGAATTTTCTAAATATTGCATTTGTGGGTTTTTCTTCTTTCTTCTTCTAATTACATGTTATTTACTTGTCGTTTTTGTTTTGTTGGTTTAGATTTGTGGAGGATCCTAGGATCTGTGATGGCTTTGACTGATCATTGTCACTACAATTCATGTTATTCTGATAGGCTTTCTAAATTGAAACGTTCAAGGCTATTTAATTATGTTCATGCGATGTTTACCTCTCTTCGTTCCATACTTGTTCCGATTAGACTCTTTGTAACAACTTGTTATTACGTGATTGGTAAATTCAAGATGGCGTAATATTATTGATATAATTGTCATCAATTATTGTCTGGTTTTCATTTGGTGCACATGTATACATGGATCTCAGCCACCCATGGATACGTGTACATACAAATTTAAATGAAAAGCCAAATCTTGACCCCGCATCCAAGAAAACTAAACGCCCATTTATATCGCAGAAAAATCCACAACTTTTGATATTTTCTTCAAAAACTAAACCCACAGCTTTTATGTCATAACGACGAACGAGGTCATATACTACGGTGCTGCTGCTGTGATGTTTTTACTTGAAAAAACTAACCAACTTTTGGTTTTTTCTTTTTTTGGTAAAAGGTTAAAATCTAACTAACTTTGTTTATGTCTTCGTCAAGTTTAGACAATATATCCGGATTCAAGTCTTCTAGAATTCATGAATAGGTAAGAATCCAAAAAAAAAACAAAGTTAATCATTCATTCATTCACGTAGGACAAAAAAAGATATGTCATATTAAAAAAACAATATAGTAGCTGAGATAATATGACGAACGAATATGCGGAAATCTGCACTAGAGAAACCTTATCCAAATAATATAAATAGCTATCAGCCCCATTGTACAGCACCAATCTGCTTGATATGTCTGTAGTCAAGTCGCAATAAGCAACTTTGACTTTTCAAACAAATACAGCCAATAATATAATATTACGCAACAGAGCTTATATATACCACCCACAATATACATCTTCTTCTCCGTAATATCATCATCCCACACTCCTCTCTAGTCTCTACTCAACCAACCAAAAATAAAAATAAAAAAATCAATGTCTCGATTTCATATCTTATTATTAACCTTGGCACTTGTCATTGCCTCTGTTTCAGTGGTTATAGCTCAAGTCCCTCCGGAGAAACAATTCAGAGTCGTCAACGAAGGCGAATTCGGCCAATACATCACCGAGTACGACGCCAGTTACCGATTCATCGAATCATCGAACCAGAGCTTCTTCACATCACCGTTCCAGCTCTTGTTTTATAATACTACCCCTGGCGCCTATGTCTTAGCTCTCCGAGTCGGTCTCAGGCGTGACGAGTCTCTCATGCGCTGGATCTGGGACGCTAATCGCAACAGCCCCGTCGGAGAAAACGCAACTCTCTCACTTGGCCGCAACGGCAACCTCGTCCTCGCTGAAGCAGACGGACGAGTTAAGTGGCAGACTAACACAGCTAACAAAGGCGTCACCGGATTCAAAATCTTGCCCAACGGAAACATGGTGCTACACGACAAAAACGGCAAATTCGTTTGGCAGAGCTTCGATCACCCCACCGATACACTCCTCAACGGCCAGTCCCTCAAAGTCAACGGGGTCAACAAACTCGTCAGCCGAACATCCGACGTGGACGGCTCCGATGGTCCGTACAGCATGGTGCTAGATACCAAAGGTTTAACCATGTACGTTAACAAAACCGGTACGCCGTTGGTTTACGGCGGATGGACCGATCACGATTTCCGTGGCACCGTCACTTTCGCCGTTACACGAGAATTGGATAATTTAACGGAGCCATCAGCTTACGAGCTTCTTCTAGAACCCGCACCACAACCCGCTACGAATCCGGGTAATAACCGCCGGTTACTCCAAGTCCGACCAATCGGAAGCGGAGGAGGAACTTTAAACTTGAACAAAATCAATTACAACGGAACAATCTCGTATCTCAGACTCGGATCTGACGGGAGTCTCAAGGCTTACTCGTATTTCCCAGCCGCTACGTATCTCAAATGGGAAGAGAGTTTCTCCTTCTTCTCCACCTACTTCGTCCGTCAATGTGGCTTACCGTCGTTTTGCGGCGATTACGGTTACTGCGACAGTGGAATGTGCAACGCGTGTCCTACACCTAAAGGCTTACTCGGATGGAGTGATAAATGCGCCCCACCGAAAACGACTCAGTTTTGTAGCGGAGGCAAGGGTAAAACTGTCAACTATTATAAGATCGTCGGTGTTGAGCATTTTACTGGGCCGTATGTTAAAGATGGACAAGGCCCAACTTCAGTAAACGATTGCAAGGCCAAGTGCGATCGTGATTGCAAGTGCTTGGGTTACTTCTACAAGGAGAAAGACAAGAAATGTTTGCTTGCTCCTCTTCTTGGCACACTCATCAAAGACGCCAACACTTCTTCCGTTGCTTACATCAAATATTAGCGTTTTAACGCAAACATTTATTTACTGAATTCAATGTGAATTCTTAGAGATTTAATGAATAATCGGTGAGCTTGTAATGATTCACCGTCTAATAACTGTAATACCTTTTTATATATATATCAAAGCCACTAATTGGCTTTATATACCATCTGTATAAATAATACCTTTGATAATGATCAAAGTACTATGTGAAGCTTTTAACTATTTCGTTGCTTAAAAATGAGAGTTTTGTAGTCTTTTGGTCCTCTCCAACTTATAAGCCTTACACTACATCCCAATAAATATACATGTTGCTTCTTAGTTGGACAAGCCGCCTGGGCAACATCCATTACTTTACAAAAAACAACAAAGCTCCATCACAATCAATTGGCGAATTTTACATTATTATCTCGGATGAAAAAGGATTTTGTAATATACAGCACTACAATGCATTGAGAGTATCGGATAAAGATCGGGAATGTGTAGTATAAAATTAATATCCAAATATCGGATCATTCAAGTTTTTTTTTTTTCAAATGCATTTGAGGGAAAACAAATAAACAATATATATCAATGATTTATTCAAAACTTATGTACGTATTGTATATCAACGAGAATATTCGACACTTTCCAGTAGCATGATCTTATCTAAATCATAAATGAGCCATTGGTCATTGGTCATCTTGCATAACACTGATTCGGTTGACAAGTCGCAAGTTTGCAGCTTGAGACTTTTCAAACGAATACAGCCCAAAGGTCCATAGCAAAATGTTATATATACAGCCAAAGAAGGCAACATTTAGAAAATCGTCTCACTCCACTCCTCAATATCAGAAAAAAAAGAAGAGCACAATAATGCTTCGGTTTGATATCTTACTAATCACGGCACTTGCCATTTCCTCTGTTTTTGTGGTCATGGCCCAAGTCCCTCCCGAGAAACAATTCAGAGTCCTCAACGAACCAAGCTACGCCCCATACATCATGGAGTACGACGCCAGTTACCGATTCCTCGAGTCACCGAATCAGAGCTTCTTCACATTTCCTTTCCAGCTCATGTTCTACAACACTACTCCTAGCGCCTACGTGTTAGCTCTCCGAGTCGGATCGAGGCGTGATATGGATTTCCCGCGTTGGATCTGGGACGCCAATCGCAACAACCCCGTCGGAGACAACTCCACGCTCTCATTCGGCCGCAACGGCAACCTCGTGCTCGCTGAGTTAAACGGCCAAGTTAAGTGGCAGACTAACACAGCAAACAAAGGCGTCACCGGATTCGAGATCTTGCCCAATGGAAACATGGTGCTACACGACAAAAACGGTAAATTCGTTTGGCAGAGCTTCGATCACCCAACAGATACACTCCTCGTCGGCCAGTCTCTCAAAGTTAACGGAGTTAACAAACTCGTTAGCCGAACATCTGACATGAACGGCTCAGATGGTCCGTACAGTATGGTGCTGGACAACAAAGGTTTAACAATGTACGTTAACAAAACCGGTACGCCGTTAGTGTACGGCGGATGGACGGATCACGACTTCCGGGGCACCGTCACCTTCGCCATTACACGGGAGTTCGACAATGTAACGGAACCGTCAGCTTACGAGCTTCTCCTAGAGCCCGCACCACAAACGGCTACGAATCAAGGTAAAAACCGCCGGTTACTCCAAGTCCGACCCATAGGCAGCGGTGGAGGAACTATAAACCTAAACAAAATAAACTACAACGGAACGATTTCGTTTTTGAGACTTGGATCTGACGGTAGCCTCAAAGCCTTCTCGTATTTCCCAGCCGCGACGTATCTAGAATGGGAAGAGTCGTTTGCTTTCTTCTCCACCTACTTCGTCCGTCAATGCGGCTTGCCGACGTTTTGTGGCGATTTCGGATATTGCAATCGTGGAATGTGCGTCGGGTGCCCTACACCGAAAGGTCTTCTAGCATGGAGTGATAAATGCGCAGCACCTAAAACGACGAAGTTTTGCAGCGGAGGCAAGGGTAGAACTGTAAACTACTATAAGATAGTTGGCGTTGAACATTTTACTGGGCCGTATGTTAATGGTGGACAATGCCCGATATCTGTAGGCGACTGCAAGGCCAAGTGCGATCGTGACTGTAAGTGTTTGGGTTACTTCTACAAGGAGAAGGACAAGAAATGTTTGATCGCTCCTCTTCTTGGCACACTCATCAAAGACGCCAACACTTCTTCCGTTGCTTACATCAAGTATTAATGCTATCCTAAGAGACTTTACGAATAATCAGTGTGTTTTGTAATGATAAACCCTCTTCAAAGCCAGCGTAACAGACTTGACAGTCCAGTCAATAGATTACCTGTGTCATCAAAAACTTGTTATCCATGTGTTTCTTTACTTTTGGTATATATATATGATGGCATATATTCGATCTTACTCGAAACTGGAACCACTGGGGGGGGGGGGGGGGAATAATACTGAGACAACTCGATCGATATTGTTTTTACAATTCATAATTTTTCTGTTAGTTAATGATTTGCAACTTTGAACTGAATGGCGTGGGACCAATTTCTACGACTGGATTGGATTACTCCTAAGATATTTCTTTTTCTTGGTTGAATGAGTAATCTATAAGAAAGTGAAAACATAAATTTAATGAAAATGATGAAGAATCAAAACCTAGGAGAGTAGTAGTAGGTAAGTAATGGGATTTTTATTGTAAAATAAGGAATCCTTCTTCCTTTAAACCACAAAAGTTATGCTATCATTTGAAACAACCCTTGAATAATGAATATTCTCACCTAGTTTATTTAGATGTTATCTTCTAATAGATTGGTCAGTGCCTCACAGTAGTGGCAGCCAAAAAAAAAAGGCTATCCTTAATCTTAAATTCTTAATTAATCAAACAACAAAACATTAATAACACTGTAGATGACAAAAACTTTAAAATAAGTAAATGCAAAGCGCGTCCATCCGCAGATCTTTTCGATTGGGACCTCCATAGATTTTATCTGTCTGGTTTCTATATCAGAGAATCACAATTTGTTTTTATTTAAATTTTATAACCAGACCGAGACCCATTGGGCTATATTTACGGGCCTCTAATTTATACATCCGGTGATTTCTTTTTCCCCCTTTTGTTTATACAATTTACATGCACAGAGCAAACGCTTGCGTACGTAAAATATGTTGAATGTTGATATTTCTACGGGATCATACTTTTTTAAAAAAACTTTATGCCTTACAAAGAGAAAACAGTGTTTGAGTTATATTTCTCCATTCCAGACTTCTTTGTTTATCTTTTGTTACACATAATAATAATAATAATACATATATTAGGGTGGCGATATTCGATTGACAATGATTGATAAGCTGAATGGAAACATAATTATAATTTCTAATGGCAACAAAATATATATTTAAATAAAGTAATTAGTAAACAATGCTTAAATGCTAATCGTACAGATTAAAGGAAGGGAAAATAATTTTGATAGGTCTACCGATGGAAAAAGAAAGAACTAAAGCACTCTTACGGGTCCCCATCTCCTGTCTCCCTCATAGACTATCATCACTTAACTTGATAATACCAAAAATAATCATCTTCTTAATTTGCATTTTACTTAATTCGTTCATTTTGTATACATCTACGTTTTAAAGTCTGTTTGGTTTGAAATAAATCTCGAGACTAGTCACTTTACTTTCGACTAAAAACGAACTTAGTTATAAAATATATGATTTATTCGAGGTTGATTAAATTTTAGAACACTCAGACTAGATTTTGCTGACAAGAAATATAAATTATTATTAGAACACTAGTAGCTTTTATTAGTATTGTTTTTACCCCTTAATTGATTTGATGCTACGTGTGTGTCTAGATATATATATTCCCATCAAATAATTTACGCGAGAATATAATAAGATTTATTTCTAGTTAGTGTAGAAAATTTTCTAAAGTTTTTCCCCCACCATCATTGACATATAGTTTCTCTATATTCCTCTCTTCTACTCCTTCCCAAGACTCCCAAAAAAAAACTAATCTTTTAATGAAAAATTAATCTCTCACTATGAGGCGATCAGAGAGGTGATATCATATCAACATATAACCATCGACGATCTACCATGGCTAGTAGTAGCAACAAAGGTAAAGACATAGCAGACGGATCGTCACAATCGCAACCACAACCGCACCAACCACAGTCACCTCCTAACCCGCCACCGTTAAGCAGGTACGAATCCCAGAAACGCCGAGACTGGAACACGTTTTGTCAGTACCTGCGTAACCAGCAGCCACCGGTCCACATCTCACAGTGTGGCTCAAACCACATACTCGACTTCCTCCAATATCTTGACCAATTTGGGAAGACAAAGGTTCATGTCCATGGATGCGTTTTCTTCGGACAGGTTGAGCCGGCGGGACAGTGTAACTGTCCTTTGAAACAAGCGTGGGGCAGTTTAGATGCTTTGATCGGACGGCTGAGAGCGGCTTTCGAGGAGAACGGAGGGTTGCCGGAGCGAAACCCTTTTGCCGGCGGCGGAATTAGGGTTTTTCTGAGGGAAGTGAGAGATTCACAGGCCAAGGCAAGAGGAGTTCCGTACAAGAAAAGAAAGAAGAGGAAGAAGAGGAATCCTATGAAGAGTCATGATGGTGAAGATGGTACTACGGGAACTAGTAGTAGCTCCAACTTGCCTTCTTAGCAAGCAAACAAAAAAAAACATATCTACTATAATAAAACAAAAGTGGGATTAGTTAATGGTAAGCATTTAATATTCTCCATAATCTCTATTAAATTTCAGTTAATTTCTCCTATCCATGTTTGTGGTCTATCTACCATACAATTCTACATATAGAGTGAAAGGAAAACCTGCAATTCGAACATTTGTTTCTTCATATATGTAGCCGGCTAGCTCTTTATATAGACTACTTGTGTTTACGTATTACCAAAACTATATGATTAATCTTAATCTTATATGTTTACCTATATATCATGTGTGTAGTGTATATCAGGAGATTCTTTATCATGTTCTTAACTACTTGTGTGGGATATTACTGATTTAGATAACATATTACACAGCTAGCTTATAGTATGCTCGATCATTTCACCTCACTGTAAACCCTAGAGATCGAGTATTCACACGCACACACACACATCGTAAAACCCTATTTTTGGCCTAGATTTACACACACTCACACATCTATATACTGAATGCATATGCGTGCATTTGATTCGTTGATTAATGTGATATCGATTATGATGAGTTACATCAGATATACTTACTACTTAGTCTTGTACTTTAGTTTCGTGCCATGGATTCTTGTACTTCCAAGGATTGTGCGCCAAAAGAGTTTATGAACGTACGGTAGAAAATTTTGAAACTGTTATGAACCAATTGTATCAATTTACATGATAATTAAATCTATGTATAAAAGATTAATGCTAAAAAGATTCACTGACTAACTTTTATTGCATTACTCCAAATATGTTTGCATACTGGACTACTAGCTAGTTTGCTACAACTAGGCCTATTCCAAGCCACAGCGCGTTGTAAGCGATTCAAACAGTGTCATGAATTTCATATGTACACTAGACGACTGTTACATAGACTTTTGATTTGATAATAATTACAAAAATGTTGATTGATGATACTATATTAATATTACACACGAGACATACATAATTTATATGGACAATACAAACTAAGGGTAGACAGAGTTAAACTCGAAAGAGATAAGATTTTCTAATATTTTCAACTATTACCTTTAAGATTAATTTGACTGTACGTAAGCAAGAACTAAAGAATGTACGTAACGACAGTGGCTGTATATATGTATAGAATTTATAGGAAGTTATATTGGAATAACCAATATGAAATATCAACGATTTAGACTTTGGCAATATGACATTGTCAGTTACTAGGTTTTTGCATTTGGTGGTACGCTAATGGTGATTTTGACTGGAAGAGCCTGTTGATGTGTTCATTTAAAGCCCCTGGGGATATGATTCCTAATTTCACCTGTAGAGTCTTCTCTCATGTCTGAATCTCTACCAAAAAAATATTAGATCTTTGGGTGTTTTTAAAGGTGAATGTGATAAAGAAGTGAAAGCAAAATGCTTTGGATGCAAGCTAAGAGCTCGCTGCAAGATGTATAGAAGTATTGGCCGAGAAGATGCCAACGATCGAAGAAGTGGGTAATAAGGAGTTAAGACATATCTTTGACCCTTTCTTTTCGTCGATGGTTTGACGTTTTCATACTCCACTTCAATTCGTATCAAAAATGTTTTCTACGGTTAAAGTTCTCTAAACATAAAGAAATGGAGTGACAGGCTTATTATGAAGGACCCAAAGTAGAGGGTTTAACTTAATCGTAAGCAGAGAAATTGGGCAAGCATATTACAAAGAGAAAGTTCAGGGTGGTTTTTCTTTAATATAGAGACATGGGGTGGGGGAAATATGAAACATTTAAAGTTCGGGGTTTTAAGTTATTAAATTAGGTGCAAAATATAATAAAGTGAAAATCCAGGCGTTAAAATGCAAAAAATGGTAAATTGTTAAAAAAAGAAGAGATTTAAAGCGAACTAATGGAAAAAGACGGAACCTGAAGTTGTTCATCGCCGGAAATTAAACGAAGAATGAATATTTACGACGATGAATCTCTGAAGCAGGAAGTAATCTACCTTCACTCGCTCTGGCACCAAGGTCCCCCGACCCGAAACCCAATCCCTAGCCCTAATTTCAACCCACCCAGGCCAAATTACATCCCGCCGGCGGATTTGCAACTTATCTCTCGCTATGGACCTGTTACTCCGCATATCATACCCAGAAACCCTAACAATCCTCAAAATCTCTACAATAACAAGCGCGCGAGGCCTGATTCGGGCCGAGAATGGCCTGTGAAGGAACTGCTTCAGTCTCCTCCTACGGGACCTGGATGGCCTGAACAAAGGCTGTGTAAGAAGGCGCGCCTTATTACGGAGGAGGAGACAGCGAAGTTGGCTGCCAATATGCTTCAGAGAGATATCCATCAAACTTGTCGCGAGTTCTTCGGTAGAAAATCCGGTGAAGATGATAGCTCAGTCGCCGACGGAGATGGATCGGATTCGGGTAGTGATGAAGGTGATGAGGATCAGTCCTCCAAGGAGTTTCAATTCTTGACGAGAGTGTTTGAAGAGAATGTGAAGCTTAAGGAATACTATGAGAAGAACACAGGGAATGGAGAATTCTGGTGTTTGGTTTGTGGTGGCACTGGAGAGAAGAGTTGTAGGAAGTTCAAGAGCTGTTTGGCTTTAATTCAGCATTCAATTGCGATTAATAAGACGGATTTGAAAATTCAGCATAGGGCTCTCGCGCAGGTTGTTTGCAATGTTCTTGGCTGGGACGTTAACAACCCAGTTGTTTCCAGCCAAAAGGACGCTCAGGTTAGTTTGCAACTATTGCAGTCTGTGGCTTCCTTAAAGATGGTTAATTTTCAGGTTACTATCTGGTTTTAGTGATCACAAAAGACAATCTTATTAGTTTATTAATATTGGTGTGAGGAAATATTTTGATCTGATTATTGTGATGGAAGATGAATTTGCTGGATCATTATGATCCTTGGTAGGTTTCTTGAATAGTTATGGTGATTCAGAAATACTTAAAGTTTGTTTTTTTGGTTATTTTGACAGACTGTGGGTGTAGAGGCTGTTGTGGAAGGTGCATCTGAGCTGCCTTCTTCAGACTTGAAGATTCCTCAGGAGAAACAAAGAGTCATGTCGGCTGAAGAACACGCAAAGGCTGCTTTGTTACAAATGCAACAGAATGCATCAGAAGCTTTGAGAGACTTTTTTGCCAAGGAATGTACTAGTTCAGTTGATGAAATTGAGGAGAACGGTGATGAAAATTTGTCTGAGGAGTTGGAGTTAATATCTAGAGTTTTCTCAGAGAATGTTGAGCTCAAGAGTTACTATGAGGAAAACTATGAAGGTGGAGCTTTTATCTGTCTGGTGTGTTGTGCTGCGACTGATAAGAAGATGATTAAGAGATTCAAACACTGTCATGGAGTTGTTCAACATTGTACTAAAGTACCAAAAATGAAGATACGAGCTCACAAGGCCTTTGCTCAGTTTGTCTGTGAACTACTTGGCTGGGATTTTGAGCTTTTACCACGTAAAGTAATGAAAGGCGTTACTTCTCTTGTTATATCTCATGCTAATCAGAACAATGAGAACCCATCATCTGTGATCGAGGTAAGACCGTATACAAACAGAACAAACACTCTGCTCTTATCCTTTTATTTCTTAAAATGAATTGTGAATCATTTCAGGAACATATGTGCGAAGATAAAGCTGATAATCCACAGGCCAACAATGAGGCTGAGGCATGCGTAGGTTAGTATACATCGTCCCTGATCACATTTAATCACAGTTTATAACATAGGACCTTAGTTATTGTATTCGTACATTTTATCTGGTTGATCGATTATTTAAAGTTTGATGATGCAATGAGCCATTATTTATGTTTTGTCTACGCAGAGGCTTAATCATACTGTTTCTCTTCTGGGAAATGAATTTAAGAGTCAAGATGAACCAAGTTATGTATCTCGAAGGCACTGAATCTTCTTTCAGGTACGATTATTTTAGTTTTCGGCATCTTATACAACTTTTATGACTTAGTATGGGGGAGTAATCAAAGACAATGTTTGTGTCACCCAACTTTTAATTCTAAGTTTTGGTTTATGAAATATATTCTCTTATTTCTTCACTGAGAATTTTGGAGTATCCTTACAATAATTTCCATAGTTCAAAAATTATTAGAGGTACTAGAGGGAAGAGGAAAACGTTGTGTGACATTGACTAAATAATTTATTTACATAAACGTAACAAATGCTAAAAATTTCAACATTTATTTTCAGACCAAAAAAAAGAAGCTAATCAATGTCCTAATAAAGCATTCAATAAATCATTTTGCATGTACAGTATAATGCTGTTATTACTGTATAAGTAATACATTAATTTCAAATTTTAACTACGTGTTGGGCTTTTGTTAAAAAAATAAAATAAAATAAAACGACGGATTGGGATATCTAAGCCGATCAGTTGTGGGCCTTGAGCATTGTACCCAAATTTATTAAAACTTTCACCTTTTAATCAAATCGGCCCAAGACGGGCGGGTCAAATATCTTCTGACAGCCTCTCTAATACACAGGAAACCCGCAAACAGAAAAACGTAACCAGTCAGTCTTGAAAGTCAGATCAAAATGGGGAAAAAAGAAGCTTCAAAGATGAACGTAGCCATTATTCATCCAGATCTTGGAATAGGTACGTTCTTCATCCAGCTCTCAATTTTAGTTTCCCCTGATTAAGTCTTGGTGCTTCGGGGATTTATCTTGCTTCCGAGGTTGTAGCTATTGCTAAATTCGAAGATTATATAACGTAATTGAGAGACCACGAAGACTTAGATTTGATACAAAAATCAATGAGGTATCGTCTTGGATCTCACAAATTTACACTAGTGCGTTGTTTCTCGTATATGCAGGTGGAGCAGAGAGATTGATCGTCGATGCCGCGGTTGAGCTTGCGTCGCACGGTCATAAAGTTCATGTCTTCACGTCTCACCACGACAAATCCAGATGCTTCGAGGAAACTCTCTCCGGTGAGTGACGTTTTGCTTCTTTTTCAGAAAACAGATACACATGAGACTCGGAAGGTTTTCTATTGGAAGAGCTATTTACAAAGACTTTAGATTCTTCTCAATTTCTCTTTTGGTTTTCTTTTTATAGTTTTAGAGTATTCTTTGTAGGTATCATGTAATAAGGTTTGAGATTTATGATTCATGTCTTACCAACAACTATCCAGGTGTCTTTCAAGTTACAGTGTATGGATCTTTCCTGCCACGGCATATTTTCTACCGACTACACGCAGTGTGTGCATATCTGCGGTGCTTGTTTGTTGCTCTTTGTGTTCTTATGGGTTGGTCTTCGTTCGATGTTATAATAGCTGACCAGGTTTCAGTCGTAGTCCCATTGCTAAAACTTAAAAGGTCATCAAAGGTATACAAACTTTGCTTTAGTCATCATATCTTGTCCTCACTTTATACAATAGCTTACTCTTGAACATATGTGGATATAGGTTGTTTTCTACTGCCATTTCCCGGACCTCTTGCTAGCTAAGCATACAACAGCACTTAGACGGATGTATCGGAAACCCATTGATTTCATCGAAGAACAAACCACAGGTTGGGTTTTCACTCATTTTCTCTTACTAACATCCATCTGACATCAATTGTTCTTATATCACTTGTGGGATTGTAGGGATGGCTGATATGATCCTTGTTAACAGTAATTTCACGGCATTAACATTTGCCAATACATTTAAAAGGCTCAATGCACAAGGAAGTCGCCCAGCTGTACTTTACCCAGCAGTCAATGTCGATCAGTTCAATGAACCAAATACTTATAAGTATTGTATATCCCTGAACTCCAAATTTACAGGATAGAAAAGCAAGCTTCGATTTGAAAAATTACTTCTCTGCTGATTTCTATAAGTTTTTCTCTTCTTTTGTTTTTTTGGTCTCAAGCAGGTTGAATTTCCTCTCCATAAACCGCTTTGAGAGGAAAAAGAACATTGATCTAGCCGTTTCAGCTTTTGCTATGCTATGCAAACAGAAACAAAATCTGAGTGATGTTACCCTCACCGTTGCAGGCAAGTGTATTATAATTCCATATCATCATCAGATGCACTGTCGGTATTAGTAAAAACTCTGTGATTCAGGTGGATATGACGAGAGATTGAAGGAGAATGTTGAGTACTTGGAGGAGCTTAGAAGTTTAGCCGAGAAAGAAGGAGTTTCTGATCGAGTTAACTTCATCACGTCTTGTTCAACCGCTGAAAGAAACGAACTTCTCTCAGGTTGCTTGTGCGTTCTCTACACGCCCACGGTAAAAGTCACCACCATTTTCTTTGTCTTCCTCCAAATTTCAATCTCATCTCATTCTCATGGTCCATATATATCAAATGTTAGGATGAACATTTTGGTATTGTTCCATTAGAAGCAATGGCTGCATACAAACCCGTGGTAGCCTGCAACAGCGGTGGCCCCGTGGAGACAGTAAAGAATGGAGTAACAGGCTATCTTTGTGAACCGACTCCAGAAGATTTCAGTTCGGCGATGGCTAAATTCATAGAGGATACTGAATTGGCGAATAGAATGGGAGCTGAGGCCAGGAATCATGTCGTTGAATCATTTTCTGTGAAGACGTTTGGACAGAAGTTGAATCAGTATCTCGTTGATGCCGTAGCTCCTAAAGAAGATTGAGATTCCTCTGTTTCGTTAAACAAAATACTTAGGCTTAGGTCAGAAAATACAGGAGCTTTATCACTCTTCAAATTGGTTAAATTTTAGTTGGCAGTTTTGTTTGGTTTGACTTTGAAGATAAATTTGACGAAGTTCGAATCAGTAAATCTCTGGTCGGGTATGGGCCTGGTCGATGAAATTTCGATTTATAAAATTTGTGTCTTATTGGGCTTGTATGTTTATGCTTTTATTGGTACTATATGGGTCAGGCCTTGTACAATAATAGATTACAATTTCTATTTTTTGTGATATTAATGGACTGCAATATATTGCGATATTTCTCCGATCGTTTGCTCTTTTTCATTTCTCGAGCTTTCTTCTTCGTCTTACAAATTCTGGTTCTCTTCCCTCCAGTCCTCCTCCATCGGAGCTCGTCGTCGTCGCCGCCTCACTGTAAATCTCTGTATTTGTTGCATGGTTTGTGAAATTTTTAATTGTAGAATTATTTTGTATGTGATGGTAGTAATTTTCCATGATTCTAGTTCTCCTTTTTCAAATTAGTTTTCCCTCGAATTTATAGCGGGCTACGGTTTGGTTTCAGTACCCGAGGAAGCTTCTTCACATGCGCAAAACGTCATGAACGCGAACAATACCTTCGATTCTGTAATCTTCGCTCGCGCCTTCTTTTCTCATCTGCCGTTTTATCGTCTACATTCTTATCTTCTGTTTTTATGGAATTAGGATCTGATTCACGCCATTTTCAAGCACATTTGGGCCTGGTACAGATCTCTATTCATTCAGGCGTGACGTAATTCGCTTATTTTGATCTTCTCTGTTTGATTTCTCTGCTCAATTGCGATTCAGAAAGGTAGAGGAGCGATGCCATTGATGCTACGGAAGCTGAGGTATTCTATTTCATGTCACAGTATTATAATCAATGTCGTAGTTTCTTCACTAGATACTGCTCTATGAGTTCGATCCTGTAACAGCTATGATCTTCGATATCTTCATCAAGTGATAAAGATTTCATTTGTGATGCTAAATCATGCATTACATTTATTTGCAGGTTGCTCTGGGAACAACCAAGAAGAATAGACTTGCTTCTGGTAACCTTGTTTATAAACTGGCGCTTACTTTCTCATCTAAGTTGGGAGATGAGACATGGATACTTATGACTATTGGTTCTTGTAGCCAACGCAAATGCTTTAAAGCTCAGCTGTGAACTTCTCAAGAGTTTTGTCTCAGGTCAAGTATCCATGTTTGCATTTTAGAAACTACTCAATCTTCTTCTTAACTCATGTCCTTAAGTAAAGGATCTTAATGGGCATTGGCAGAGGCTGTGCAGCGCGCTGCTATAATCGCTGAAGCTGAGGGAATGGACAAGATTGAAGCTACTCATTTAGAGAGGATTCTTCCCCAGCTTCTTTTGGACTTTTAAGGTATGATTGATAATAAGCACATGCTTGTCCCTGCATCTCTTTGTTTTATCCTTCGTTTTATTTTGCTTCTGTTTACGTCGATGTACATGTACTAATGAACGTGAAATCTTGTTTCTTCTTTCCTTTGTCTAAATATACACAACGCTTAGATCATGGCATGTGTTCTTCCTTTCTTATAAATAACATTGATTATATTATTCCACATAAGTTATTCTGAGGATCATACTACTAATTTGTTTATAGGCTAGGCTAATGTGGTGGTTTATAGTCCATAAAGAAGGAGATATATATATTTGACTTTGTTCTGGATATATGCTCTATGTGCTCCAGAGCTGATTCCAATGCTATCACCCGTAGCATACCCAAAATACTCTGAAATGTAAGAATAAATCTTACCCATCGTCGATCTTCTGCAATTAGAGATTTTTCTTTTCTTGATCGTATAAGGTTGACCTAAAGCAGAAGAGCGAGATGTAGGAATCTTCTTACGATATGAAAGAGCAATTTCTTTAGCCTTCAGAGCTGCAGAAACAGAAAGCACAATGTAAGAGCTAGTCTAAACGGAGGATACATAAGCTTTCTTAGTATCCTCCACAGGTTTACTGTAATTAAGACTTAAGCAATCAGTGAACCAATAGTAAAGAGATAGTACCTTTGCGTTTTAAGTCTTGATCAAATTAGCCTCTTCCTGGTCAGAGTTCTCAGCATGTGAGTTATCTGCCTTAGGTGACTCGAAATCATCAGTATTGTAAGAATCACCATCACTATTTGTTGAATGAAAGACTTGTTCCGGTGACTCATGGCAACATAAATCTAAATAATTTACATCCGGTAATACTCCCACCGTTGTTGGAAGTACTGACATTCTCATAACTGTGATCATATACTCTCTCGTCTCTCCAGGTAGTCTCAAACACTTGCTTTGTAAAAAACTTGAAATTACCGCCATTCTCCTTGAAATTTATCGAGCTTATATTGCTTCTCCTTTGAAACTTTCTCCTTGCAGTTATGACACGTTAACTGATCCTCGAGTTTTTCAACACGGTAAATGACTCTAGTACTTTCAAAAGGTTATCAACGTCATCAGTTTCCATACTCCATCTAAGAGAGGTTTCTAATGTGTCAGAAGAGAAATTGATGAAGCTGAAAAAAGAAGAGATGAAACATATTCAATATGAAAATTGCTGCAACAGTAGGTTAATATATATATAGTGTGTGGTAAATAAATTATTAACTTTTCAAACCGTACTCATGAGATGGCCACCGAAGACGTGGTCAACAATGTTATCAGCTTGAGAAGATATAGAACATGTAGGACTATTTCTTGGGATCAAACATCTCTCTAGCTAATCCAAAAGCGAGTCGCTTTAAGCGACTGTAGAAACTCATAAGCACCTTCTTGGTTGTTTATCTGAAAGTCAGGTGAAAAATATGTGGCGGCGTTAGGTTAAAACATTCATACGAAGAAATATTGCCAAGAGAAGATATCATACGATTTAGATTATTACGAAACTGATTAGTCGTTATAAGATCCTGAATACTTGAGAGCAAGCTTAATATGATCTTGAAGAGTCTGCATAACACGGAATGTCTCGCTGCCAACTGAAAACGACGTAGCATGGTTTAAGAATTTCTGCTGTAGTCGTGTTCTGTTGTTAAAGTGTAAACGACGTAGAGGAAGAGTTATATGTATTTTATTCATCTTTTTATACTTAAGAGAGAGAGAGAGAGAATGAAAAAAAGGGAAAGTAACATGATGTGCCTGTATGTATATTTTTCCTTTTTCCTTTTTCCTTTTTTCATAACGGAAATTGGAGTTACGAAGTCGATCGATCCCGCCAGTTAAAACTTCTCCAAACCGTCCGTCAGTGATGACTCCTCTGATCTTTACGAGTAGATCGTGACATCTGTCTTTATTTGCTGACAGCATTTCATATGTAAAAAAGGTTTACATTGGGTACGTTCTATATATATTACGGAGTAGTCTTTCTTTTTCTTTTCTTTTTTTTGTTATATATATTAATAGTCTTTCGTCTTATCTTTATAATCTCTTTATGCAAATTAACAAAACAGAAGAAATGGCTTTTTCTGTGGATGCTCTAGAGGGTGGACTTGCGTCTCTGAAATTGGCCGCCGACAAGTACCGATCGATTTTGAACGATGAGAAAACGGGAAACATACAGTGGAGATACGGCGGTCCTCCGATCTTCGACACCGTGAACAAGCTTTTCGAAGAAGAAAGAACCCATGTAACTACCAAACCAACAACTCTTTTCTCTTGCCTTTATCTTTATTTTTCTTTTATCAGAAATATGCTTAGATTGTGACTTAACACACAAATCACCACGTTATTTAGACTATATATGTGTTCTAATCATATACTATAATTATTTGTTCAGATAAGACTATTATCATGAAATTTAAAACTAGTGTGAACTAACATATTATCAAATGTTTACTAGTACTTTCAGCAATATATTTCTATATAAAAAATAAAATAAAAATCAAGAAGCTTTGTTATACAATATCCCATGTGAGTCACATCATGTGACATATAGATTTAGCAAACATGAAAAAATTTATGCAAGACTTTCTTCTGAATTTCCTTGGTTATCTTAGAAAATGTCATTATGTCATTGGGAAAAAGGAAGCCAATTGGGACAATACAAATAAGTAATTGTGGGTTATTGGTTGCAACTTAGTCATGATGATAATTAGATATGTGACTGAGACAGTTAACAACTTCAAAATGTCAACTTTACGTGGTTACAAAAACGTTGGTACATCACTTATCTCCATTTAACCTCTTTTGTTAATTATCAACATGTATTCTGAAATGATTATAAAAGAGGCAAGCGAGCATAGCTATATGTACATCAACCTTATATGGCTACTAGGGAAGAGAGAGATAAGTATAGATCTGTCCTTGAAGATGCAAGACAGGTTCAGTGGCGGTACGGTCACCCTCCAGACTTCAATAGTGTGAACCAGCTCTTTGAAGAAGGCCAGACCAAGGTCCTTCTGTAAAAATTTATAGGGATTTATTGATAAAGACCATGATGTGTTTAGCTACGTTTTTAATATGTTAATCTGATTATTTTTTTATTGCGTTTTGAATTTGAGCGCAGGTGTGGCCAGAAGGGTCGTTAGAAGAGACGGTGCAAAACGCAATCAAGTCATGGGAGATGGAGTTCTCACACAAGATCCGTATACAGGACTTCAAGACTATAAATCCCGAGAAATTTAAGCTCTTTGTCAATGGTAATTACCACAAGCTTCACTTACTCGGTATGTTCTTAAACTGTATAATATACCAAAAATAAGATTTCAAGTGGTTTTACTTATAAGGGAGGGAAGGTTTATCCGCTGAAGAGACGCTTAGACTTGGGAGTTACAACGCTTTGCTCAAGAACTCTTTGCCTGAAGAGTTTCAGTACTACAAGCCAGAGGAAGAGAGCTTTGAGTCATCACATGATGCCTTCAGATCTGCTTTACCACGCGGGTTTGCATGGGAAATACTCTCTGTGTACTCGGGACCGCCTGACATAGCCTTCAAGTTTCGACACTGGGGATACTTTGAAGGAACTTTCAAAGGTCATGCGCCTACTGGGGAAATGGTTCAATTCCTGGGTCTAGGAGTTCTAAAGGTATGTCTGAAGCATAAATTTGTGCCTATCCTTGTAATTATTGAATAATTAAAACTATAGCATCAGGATTCACTTCCAAGGTTCTCTACAGGTAGATGAATCGCTTAGAGTAGAGGAGATTGAGATTTACTATGATCCAGGAGAGCTCTTCGGGGGGCTACTCAAGGGACCTCCTATATCAGAGACCGAAACCACACACAGTGGAGACAACACTGCAGAGAAACAAAGCTGCCCATTCACACACTAAGAAATGTTAATGATCTACGAATGTCTATTGTCCCTATAACGTTGGTTTATACTGTAAAATTAAATAATAAAGCACAAATGTATTTGACCTTTTAAAGAATATATTGTAACATTGTAATAAATTATAAGTTATGTTAGGCGTTACAATGATGGTACAGATAAATTACAGCAAGAACTACAATAAGGTGGTTAATTTAACTGACCAGTTTCTAGCAGAGCTCACCCTTTGCATCAACCCCGTTCTGACATTCATCCACGAGAGCCACGTTCAACATTTCGGTACAAAATTGATCGTCAGGTTTCAACCACAAGGCCTGAAAATACAGGAAGAAAAAGACAGAAAATGAATAAATGTATAGCTCACCGTCTGACAGAAGAAAATTAAAGATATAGTTATCGTTCTCTCATAGACATTAGTGTTTATACCTTGTGATAATATGAGATGGCAGCTGAGAAATTCCCCTAGACAAGAATGAGATGGAAATGAAAATATGTGATAATCAACGTTAGTATTGTTTTGGTGTTAAAAGTACATTTAAATACCTGCAAATGGTAAGTGTAAGCCAAGCCAGAGTAAGTGCTTAAGCTTTTAGTTGAAAGTGTAAGTGCTTTCTCGTAATATGCGATAGCTTCACGATCCTTTCTGTTGAAAAGAATTTTAATGAGTCAATAACTTTATTACATTGACAACACAGGATGCTAATTGTGCGCACACCGAAATACCTTAGCTTTCTATATGCATGAGCGAGATTGACCACAGTTGGTTCCCAGGTTTCAGTTAATGCAGATGGTATATGGGACAATGTCTTCTCAAACCACCGCACAGCTTTACCATACCTGAAATGTAGTTTATATTATTGACTCAACTTACTGGATAGTTACCTTCTCCCCATTTTATGGTGTAGGTTTGTCATTAATAGCATTTGGAAATTTTGGAGATAAGCAGACTGTAAAGAGAAGAGGAACGCACTCTTTCATATGATACGCAACAACTCCGAGTTCGTTATAAACAAGTGGATCCGAAGGGCATATCGCCTTTGCTTGCATGAAAAACTGGACAAAGACAAGGGGTCAACTTAAATACAATATTAGCACAAAGATAAGTCATATAATATGAAGACGCCACACAGCATTTTCTAACTTGTTACCTGGTCAGCAAGCTTGTAGCTGTGAGTTCGCATATACTCCATTCCAATGTACAGAGTTGGCAAATGACACCTGGAACAAGATAATATCAAGATTTAACCTGTAAAAAACAATTTATAACGTAATAAGAAGACTTCTAAAATGCTTCAGGGATAAGCTTCATTTTGGACACATCTTACAGGTTTTACAGTCGATAGTTTTATAGAAAACAAGAGTAACTTTCTTACCCTGGAAATAGCCTAGCGGCAGTGCGATAGGCAGACATGGCTTGGTCACCCTCCTCTTGGGCGGCAAAGGAATTACCAAAACCTATCCAAGCTGGTGAGAATGAGCCATCTATACTTGTAGCTTTACTGCAAGACCATATTAATATTGAGCTCCAGGTCAGACAATATGCACCGAACTACTAGAGTAGATCAAGAGTTCATAATGTCATAGCATATTTACCTAAAGTACCGCCGAGCTTCAGCATACTTTTTGATACAATAGTAGTAACAACCCACTGCAAACCATGACAATGCCCTACGAGACAACGCATGAGTATTTAGACCACAGAGCAAAAAGCAAAGGAATCATAAAAATTTGACTCAAACACAAAAATGTGAAATCATTTTCACATGTTCAACGAGATCAAATACAAAAAACATATCCAACCACAAAACATGCATTCGAAGTTGATTCATGGTCTTGACAAGCTAAACCATAAAACATGTTAACTATACTAGCTAGAATTGGAATTAAAACATAACTATATAGACATGCTCACCCACTGGCAACATATTTTGAGAAATAAATTTAATACTCACTTCGAAGGGTAGTCTTTTACCAAATTGCATGCCATTAGATAAAGCTCATTTGAATTACCAAGTTCCATGGCAGCGGCCAAATGTACCAAGGTACACTTCAGATGAAAAGGATCTTTCTCAAGGAGTCTGTCAAATAAGACCAAAAGAGATCACATTGCAGATTCATTCAGGTTTCAGATTCTCAATATTTAGTCTCAGTAGTAATAGACAGCTTACGCAGAGGTGAGTTCGAAACACTTTTGATATTCACAACATTGATGGTAGTACTCAGCTTTACAGGCCAACAGATCAGTGTTATTAGCCAATGTGATCATCGACGATCCAGAGACACTACCACTAGTTTCATTCTCAAGCTTTTTGAACTTAGCATCTATCGTGCTCTCTTTGTCATACTGGACATGAGGAACTAGTAAGTACTAAGAAGGAAAAAAAAAGGTGATTGCCAAAGGATATCAGCAGAATAGAGAATCATCAAGCAAATTCCAAATATAAGTGCAGCATAACTATTGAAATCGGATCAACAGTTTACAATATAGAAATGTCTACCTTCTTTATCAAGCATGAATAGAAAGAAGAGAGCCATTCGTCTTCTGGACTAAATTGCAGTGAAGCAAGCAGACTCGATTCTGAATTTTACGTAATTAAAGTCTAAGTTAGTTTCTAGTTATGTACCGACTGCAGCATGAAACAAATATGATCATAAAATAAAGAACCAAAAAAAGCTTACAACTATAACCCACCTTCTTCAGATGTAAGCATATGACTTTCAATAAGGCATTCCAAAGCCTGAAATTAAAGATTACAGAATCACATCCCAGTAACAATTTTCTAATATCTACAGGAGCTACATCATGTTTTTACTACTATACAGTGATGAGGAGAATGTTATATTCCCACATTAGCTCTGCAACTTCCAATGGTAACTTAAAATAACATGCAGCAATTGACTAGGGGGCTTGAAGTACCTCATAGCACAGGGGATCAGCCTTTATAGCAGCTTTGTACCTGCAAACTCAAACTAAAGAGTTAAAATAGATATATGAAGTTGAAGATTCTCACACACCACTCAATCAAAATAGATGGATCAGCCAATTACACTCAAGATCACTGAAGTTTCCTACTAGCACTTCAGTGAATCTTGTATACATGATCATTTCATGTTACACCAACGAATAAGATCAGTCACTCACAATCATCAAAATGCAGATAAAAGATAATCCCCTGAACAAGAAAAATAGGTGAAAGAAGGCTCACTGACCATTGTCGAGCCTGGGATCGGTTTTGTAAGGCTCCATATGCTTTCCCTCTAAGGAAGCATATTGCCGATGAAATCTGCAAAAGAGAAACCCCATATATCAGTGCAGGTACTTGCATAACCTTCAGCCTCAAATGGTATAGTGGAAACAGTATATAGTAGTCGGCGAATTAATTTTGTTCCAACAATTTCACTAACTAAACCTTCTAGAGTCGTATACATAATACTACCTACTGGCTACTAGCCTCTGGTACCTACATCTAGAATGAAGTATTATACATTGGAAAAACTTACATTTATCTCTCGGTCCTCTCCATCTTTATCAAAATCTATCACGTTACCATCTTTAGCATCATACACAAATCCATCTTCATCAACCTTAGCATCACCAAGCATCAAGAGACACTGATCCCATTCCTTCAGTTCCTCCTGAAAACGCACAGAATGTACCCGATAAACCCTAAAACCCTCCATTCAAGCGAAACAAACTGCAATTCCTAACCCCATCCCAAGTGAAACACGAGAAATAGATAGAAGAAAGGGAGGAATTGGAGTTACAAGGCACTTGGCGGCGAGGTAACGGAATCGAAGATCTCGGAGGACAATCTTAGAGGCGTTAAGAAGGTGAAAGGCGCGTCGGTAATGGCGGCCCAAGAAAAGAGCTTGAGCTTGCATATAAATGTCAGCTGGGTCATTGGTGAGAGCCGCTACTTTGTCGGCGAAGAAAATGGCAGACGAGTACAAATGCTTACTGACGCAGTCTCGAACCACGCCTCGGATCTTCTCAATTTCTTCTTCCCTCATAATTCCCTCGCCTCTCGAACTAATTCTTCCAGGCGAAGTCCAGAATCAGCAAGATCTAAGCAAGGATCTTAACAAAAAAAAAAAAAATTGGGATTATCGATAAATTTTTGTTCGACCGCTATATCTTAGTCAAAAGTGTTTGCGCGAGGGAGGCGGGACAAAAGGCAAGAGCCTCGGCGGGAGAGTGTAAATAATTTATCACCAACCTTCCATAACTATAGGCCCATTATGCTGCAACCTAAAGCCCATTAACATAGTTGTGCACCACGCAGGCTAAATTTGCCATAATTTCCTCAAGTCTTCTCGTGACTACGAGTTATGTATCATGAACAATCAACAACACAAATGTATGAGTTTTTAGTAATGCAAAAGATGCTCGGTGGTAAAATGATTCGTTTTCTTTTGTCTTGCAACTTTGGGGCTTATATTGTTAAAGAAAAGACACAAAAGAACTCAATAATAAGCCCATTATAAGCCCAATTAACCTGATAAACAACTGCGATCCATGCTTAATTAAAGTCGGGTTCTAAGGACGGATATTCGAATCGGGTAAAAACCGAATCGATTCGAACCGGGTTTCACACACGTATCCCTCGATCGCCCATTCTTCGGAAGCCCTCATTTTGAATTTTCGTTCCACTTTGACCTACTCTTACTCTTACTCTTACTCTTACTCTTACTCTTACGCTGTTAGTAGTGGACTAGTGGCGAATTGGCGATAATGTCGGCGATCGTTGGCTTCCTAGATTTTCTATAATCTCATTTCAAGGTTAGAGGGAATCGATTTCGGTATTTGCGTCGCACATGACATGGATGAAGCTAGAAGGAAACGTGTTCGTGCCCAACGATCGAGAGGTAGAGGAACAAGTAAGGTTGATTGGATAAGCGATTTGCCAGATTCATTGCTATGTCAGGTACTCCTGAATCTTACCACTAAGGATGTCGTTAGGACTAGTGTTTTATCTAAAAGATGGGGTCATCTCTGGAAATGTGTACCTGGCTTGGACTTGGGTGGTGAGGATATCAAACAGTACTACAAATACGTGATTTTTGTGGATAGGTTTCTGGATTTTAATAGTGAGTATCACATAGAAAGTTTTAAGCTAAGCTACCCTGGTGATGGCAACTGTGAGACTCAAGTTGATCTTGTAAGGCGGTGGATAAGGACTGTCGTTAGGCTGGGAATTAAACATCTCAAATTTTTGGACTATTCTTGGGGGTGTGGTACGTTTCATTTACCTCGGAGTATTTACACTTGTAAGAGCTTGGTATCATTGAAGCTCTCTTGCGTATCCATGCCCTGTCTCAAGCTTGTTTCTTTACCTTATCTTAGGATCATCGAGCTAATTAGTGTTAAGTTTGCCGACAATTTGGATTTAGAAACACTGATCACTAGCTGCGCTGCTCTCGAAATCTTACTTATAAAGACAAATCACTCTGATGGTGGCATACAAGTTTCAAGAGTGCGTTCTCAATCTCTATTGAGCTTCACTCATGTTGAAGAAAATGGTTCGGCTAAAGAAGATCTAGTAATTGATGCTCCCAACCTTGAGTATCTGAAGCTCAAGGCTCATCAAACTGCAAGTGTCATAATAAAACATCATGGTTCCCTTGTTTCCGTCGATGTCAATTTTGTGTTTAACTCGCCTTTCCACAGGAGGTTTGATCCGAGTGGTCTACCAAAGAGAGATATGATTCAAAATCTTTTCGTCGCGATCTCTCGCGTAAAAAGTATGATCATCTCTTGTGGTACTCTTAAGGTAACCTATATTGAATTCGTTTTTTGAATGCTTAACCTTATAAGTATTTTTCTCATATTTTTCTTTCCTTGTAGGTCATCTATGATTACGCAAGATGTCAACCACTACCCTTATTCCATAACCTATCTTTCTTGCGTGTGAAGTTCTATGAATACTTATGGGAATTGTTGCCGACCTTTCTTGAGAGCTGCCCAAATCTAAAATCCCTCATCTTGGTTAGTAGGATTCTTACTGACCTTTGTTATAATGCAAATGATGAAAGTATCATGAAGTTAACTTGTTTCGTCCACTCGATTGTACTTGTAGGAATCTACTGAAAATTTGAAGACAAAAGGGTTAAGTAATTTTTCCGGATCGCAAGGTTTCCTGCCATCTCTTGAGCATATTGAGATAAAGATTCCACTGAAAGGGTTTGTGATGGAGATGAAATTCGTGAATTACTTTCTTGAGAAATCAACAATCCTTAAGAAGCTAACCCTATGCTTGGATGATTCCAGAAAGACAGAAAAATCTGTTGTTGTCAAGAAACTTCTTACTATTCCAAGGCTCTCTCCCTCATGCGAAGTTGTGATTCTCTGATCCTTATTGTCTCGATGACGAGGAACGCTCGAGTTGTTTTTTGTTTTTTTTTTATTAATGTGAACTCTATGTTTCTTCTTTATTTCTCGTTATCATGATTATTGTAGCTTGTAAGATAATCATATGTTTGCTACTTTGACAAGAACAAATGTTATTGCTTCCCTCCTTTTTGGCTTGTGGCGTTTTTTCGTTTAGCATGGTTGTACAGCACAGAGAGACTTGTAGTTGGAAAAATGAATAATAATACATAGTTGGTTCAGAGACCAAATAAACTGTAATATGAGGATCATAATGTATAAAAGAAGAGTTGAAGAAACTTGTACGACCGTTGCGAGGCCCATAAAATATGATTTTGCTTAATTTCAGACGTTGGAGTAAATAAGAGTAAGATGCTTCAGTTGAACCAAAAAGGTAATAAGATTTTCGTGTAAGAAGACCCAAAGAGTAAAGTTTCTAAAACTCTTTACCCATAAAACTTATGGTTAGATGAATCATGAAACTAAACTATGAACTCCTGGCCAACTAAGAGCAATCCGTATTTGTTTAGGAGCTTTTAAGCTATACATCATACATGCATGAATGGTGACGACTACTTCTAGGCTCCAATGACAATGAGCTTTACAAACCGAAGAAACCTAGCTCGCTTGCTTTTTCTTTTTCGAAGGTTTCGAAATATTGATATATGATTGTAACTGCAAGAAGGATTCCAGTGCCTGACCCAATAGCACCCATTAAATCAGCCAAGACAGTGAGTGCACCAATGCATAGACCGCCAAAAGCTGCAGCCGTGGGAATGTATCGGTTCAGTTCCTTTTGAAGATTTGAGTCTCGGTGACCAGGCATTACCATTTGCTGTTCCTGAAACAAATCCACAAAACTTTATGAGTTGCAAAAGACCAAAGATAAGAACTGGATCAGAAACTTTGCTTAAGACAAATTAAGTTTATCAACAAATTAACAAAACATACTCGTAGTTGTCTGGCGACATCTTTGGCTGATGAACCGGAAACTTCAATCCAGGTTTTAGAGAACAACGCACACACGCCTAACATGAACACAAGGTAGAACAGAGCGTGGAAAGGATGAGTTGCCATCTCAGCTAAGCTGCAAAACAGAACAATAAAAAAAAAAAAAAGTGGAGATGAAGTTAACCAAAAGGTAGACAACAGATCAAGAAACGAACCAAAGAAGTAAAATGTTACCTAGAGGGGGCGGTTATGTAGTACGCAATACCACCAACAGGGATAGATTGCCCACTGTATTCTGACTCCTTCCACATACCGATAAAGTTCACCAAAAGGTTTCCACCAAACTTTCTGTACAATAGCTATATAATTCACAATGCTTTAAGTTAGGAACTTCAATATTTAGCTCAGATTAAGGATTTTGTCTAGAGTGATATATACCTGAGAGATGAAGTAGATGTTGGAGACAAGAGCTGACTGCAAGATGATAGGCATGTTCGAGGTGTAGAACAATTTGATAGGATAAGAGCCTTGCTGTCCTCGAGCATTCTTTGATCTCACAGGTAAAACAACCCGAAAGCCTTGAAAGTAAACCACAATCAGAAAGATCAAGACTGTGGCAAGCAGATTAGTCACATTTGGGAGGTTCTGCCTGTAAAAAGCTTCACGGAGTGCGCTGACTTTATCTGTTCGAGTGATGAGAAGGTGGAACAGAGCAATAACAGCTCCTTCAAATTGAGCTCCACGTCCACTGTTGATGGTCGTAGGACTGAATGCTTTCCAAACAACGCTCTCACTAGAAAAGAAGTTTTCATCAACATCAAAATGCACATTAAGGTTTTTAACAGAGAAAGCTAGCTAGACTGTAAAGTAAAACTCACCAGATATTAGTAGCAATGAAAAGGGAAATTCCAGAACCGAGGCCGTAACCTTTCTGGAGAAGCTCATCTAAACAAAGGACGATAATGGAAGCAAAACAGAGCTGAACAATGATAAGAATAGCATTCCCAACTCCTAGTTCCCCGACATTACCATACATCCCAGAGAGAACATATGCAACTGCTTGGCCGACCGCTATGAGGATCCCTAACAGCTTCTGTGCACCGTTCCTACAATCAAAATTTCTTAACTCTATTGGTCTCTGAAGTTTGTAAAGAGTTTGATATGAACACACATAAGGGTACTAGTACACTTACAAGAGTGCACGGTCTTCACGGACATTGTTATCGATGTCAATGATCTTAGAACCAGAGAGAAGCTGCATAACCATACCGGACGTGACGATTGGTGTAATACCAAGCTCCATAACCGTTCCTCGACTCGAAGCAAGAATGACACGCATCCAATAGAATGGATCCGCGCCTGTAGTGGAATGGATTCCATAGAGTGGCAACTGACTACACACCAAGAAGATGAAGAGAGAGATCACAGTGTATATGACTTTCTCTCTAAACGGGATCTTTCTTTCTGGAGATTGGACTTCTGGTAAGAATGCAAGGAATGGCCTCACAAGATGAATCACTTTAAATCCTCCAACCATCTTCTTCTCAATTGATTTATCTGCAAAATCTCTGAAAAAAAAAAAAAAAGATGAAGGCAAGAGTAAGCTGTATATACATTCAAGACTCAACATGCAAAGAAAATACCAGAAACCCTATAGACGAAGAAGTTAGGTATCGAAGTCTAGTACATAGGACACATACGCAAGCATATCTAAATAGAAAAACCAATCAATAAACTAAAGGAATTAGATACCCGATCCCAGAGAACGAACGTACGGTCCTAACATCCTAATAGAAGAGAAAAGTAAGTATAGAAGGAGAGAACGAACCTTAGAAAAAGAAATATACGTTGGAATCTCGTAAGAGTGTATAATAAAATAAAAGATAGGGTTATGTGACTATTTATATAACAGAGTTCGATACCTGAACCGTGATTTGACATTCCTTTTCCTATTTGGAAATTTTTATCTCCTAAAACCTTTTTCTACTACAAATTGTTCTGATTTTCAAACTTTTGTTTTGATTTAATTTAATTTAATTATTATGTAACTTTTTATCTAGTAGAAAGAAAGGTAATTAAATGTGTTTAAGGAAATTTATTATTTGGTTTATGTTATGTTATAAAAAAATATCATAAAAATCTTATTATATATAAGGTTGCTTAATTCTCTTCAAATTATAAATCCAAGCTTTTTTTGGTAACGGAAGCTTCTGGACCGTATATAAATTTAATTTGATGCCAAGCAAAACTAACGGCCAAGAAGAGTCGTATAAAGGAGCTGGTTCCATACGTCGGGGACCCCGGGGAGGCACCAATGGCTGCAGTCGTTTAAGCGACTGCCTCCACCGGCGTAGATTGAAGGGTGAGCGTCCTTCCTCAGCTCTGTCATAGCCGTCACATCGAGGAGGTTCACCGGTTTAGCCATCGCTCCGATCACTTTTCTCACTATAGTTTCACCTATATTAGGTCCGGGGTTACTTGGTCCTTTCACTGGTTCCGTCTCGCCCAAGCAAGTCTTCCCTGGTTTACCCCATTCACCTCCACTTTCAAATTAAACCAAAAACAAATAAGAACGTTACGTCTTGTTAATTAAGTTGATTATAATCACTTGAGGAAGAGATCGATGGAGACTAACTTTAAATGAACGGGAGAGACGCCTTGATAGAAAACCTTAGTTTTTGAAGGATCAATGTTGTGATCAATCCACTTAGCCCAAGTGGTCAATGCAATCTTGAAAGCCTCCATTCTGTTCATCTCTTTCACTATTTGGTCTCCCGTTTGAAAGTAGTCCCATCTACATTCGATTATATAATACAATATGATGATGAGATTAATTAAATAAGCTTAATTATGCATATGTAAGATCGTTGGTTTCCCTAATATTTTACGTTTTGGCACGGCCGGTGTGAGACCACCAGTGGAATGTGTTAAAGATGACAACATCTGATCCCAACCATTGATTCCCTGAACTAATCGAGTCTAGTTTCAGAATCAATCCTCTTGTTTTGTCCGCTACCAAATCCACCAGGAAACCGTTTTTCAGGAAATTTACAGATATTCCATATTCCTGTAATTCATTGGGATATTACAAATCAAATCGAAATGAATCGGTTATCATACTCTATAAATAACCGAAGCCGAGAACCAAGAATATTAAACCATTTGAGGCTACGTAATACGTACCGGAATGGTGAAAGTAGAGAGGAGCTTGGTGGGCTGGAAGGTATACTTAGCGTTAGGAACGGCCGCGTGAAGCATGCAGCTTAGAGACACCCACATATTGTTGCTTAGTGAATCTCCCACGAATAGTATTTTCTTCCCTCTGAATCTCGTTAAGAAATCTCGTCCGTCGAATCTGTATCCCCAACGTAAATCTCAGCCGTTTTAATTATTTTTGTAATATGTAAACTTTGCATTTTCAAGATCTAAACATGACAAAAAAAATTTGGTACACACTTCATCATGAAAATTACAGAACTCTTAAAAGCTTCATTTTTTCTCTTAATTAATTATGCTGATAAATTTCTTATATATGTCAATTCATAATTTTCGTTGAATATATATTAATATGCAATGATATAAGTTGTCAAATATTTCTAAATAGTCATAATTACAAAATAAAAAATGTAAGATTTATATCACATTTCATTAGTATTTAAGATTTTTCACCAATTATTTTAAGATATGAAATGAATGCGAAATCTCCAAGATCACTTCCCCCATAATTTCAATTATATGCATCGTGAAAATGAACGAGAAACTGTAACCATTTGATCAATCGTGGTCAAGGAGGAAAACAAAAAAAAAGAATAGTATTTTTAAAAAATTAGAAATGTATTGACAGAAGTGAAAATGAAATATACGGATCACCTTGGGATATTGCACCCGGAGGGTTGCCATCGGTAATAGAGGTAGTTCTTATCCGGCCTACCAAGCTTCTGACAATCCAATCCGATGAACGGACATGTCGATGTTCCATAAAGAGGATTAGAGGAGTTGTCATATATCCAACTCCCTTGGTAAATGTTACACTTTGATGCGTTATCGTAACCATCATCCGTATTATATGCTAAGACATCATACTCTGACAAATCAACAAGAAAAATAAGAAGAATGGGAAAGAGGACATGATGGAGATTCATTTTTTTTTTTTTTACTTAGCTAGCTAAAACTTGAAGAGAGGATGTAAGTTGATATATTATAGAGGTCAAATTGTTTCATTTATAGATTAGTACACGCGTGTATCCGCATGCATGCCTGTATGGTCTACTTAAATAGTCAAGTATCTATGATTTATAGGAAAGTAATAAAACCCTTTTATTGAAATATAATCAAGTCAAGCAAAATATCTCTTCTTTTTTGGTTAATTGGACCACAATTCTTGCTTCTATCTAGGTACACACAAAAAAAAAAAAAAAATTACCTTCAAGAGAATAAATTTTCAAACATAACATGTATGAGGTTTTTGCTTCTTGGGGCAGATCCAGTAAAAATACAACAAAATTGAGAGATTATAATTAAAACCGTTATCGTTTAATAAATAGGTTTGCAAATAAATTGGAACGTTATTTTCATTAGATTAGACCCCATAAGTTCCAATTGTTGATGGCATCTTGTATTTGCATAATTAACAGTAAGATAGTATTCACATAATTAAATTATATTTTTACTGAATGAATAAATTTATGATTTTTTCTCAATTAATGGAAATGTTTGTTGAGTTTTCATTTATTTCTGAAAAAGAAAAAACAAATCTATAGTAAATAATTTTTTTTTTATAATCAAAATAGTAAATAACACAATTTTAGAAATAGGATAAATAGAAGGAAAAGCTTTTTTGCTGGCGTAAAAAACAAAATGATATGATAGTATAAATTTGATAATTAAGACGTGGCAGAATACTAATGGATGATGGCATGTGGCCATCTATCAGTTAAACGTACGTGCATTGACCACGACCTAATGAAGGCTTCCATGTGATAATTATTAGCTCATATGGATGGATCATGTCTAGTACACACTTTCGTCATTCACCTTCCGCTGTGACTTACAAATAAAGTCTGAACAAGGACCAAGCCTAACAAAATCAAGCCCACATGTCAGAATATGAAATCTGTAGCCGTTATAAACAGAGGATCCTCTGCCCATTGCAAATAATCACCTTATTTTCGTCGTGATGAAGCGTTCATTGTTGACTGATAGGGATGCTTCAAAGTTATAATAAAACAATAGCATAAGTTGCTTCGTTGACTATGTGGTCTTTGACAGTGTTAACATAAACCGGGAAGGTTGGGAAACAAGCAAGACAGTTAAAAAATAGGCAGTGATCGATCATATGATTCAGTCTCAAGAATTACAATATTAGGACGAGAAGATCACGGTCGGGGACATATAAACGAATATTATAAGCTTTGTGTTCAACTTCGAACATTACATGGGAAGAGGTACAATTGAAATAAAACTGAGCAAACATACCATCAAGAACAGTTTTGAAAATGTACAGGTGGGTTGGGATCACCTGGTGCTTGAGTTTCCAAGAGTGAGTTCGAGATCATCCGAACCACTCTCCTCGTGTATCCTCTCTCCTTCCCATGCTTTCACTAACCCGTTTGTGTTGCTCCCGAACGCAAACTCTGGAGGAGCCACGGCTTCAGACATTGGAACATCAGCTGTCTGGTCGGCACCAGGAGGAATAGCAGGGGAGCAAGTCCCGCTTTGACCTGGTGTCCACATCCTTGACCCGCCTCCGCCTCCAGCAGCAGAGGCTGCTTCTTCTTTGAATCCAAATGGGTTTTGTGAGACGAGGCTAAACGTTGGTGAAGCTGGAACGCTTTGTGCTAGTTGAATCCCTGAGAACCATTCAGAGTCGGGGATGATTTGTCGGGTGGGACTGGGCGGTGTTGAAGAGACAAAGAAGGAGTTGTTGAGTTGTTGCCAATCGGGGTTCATTCTCGGGGTGCGAGCAGTGGGAGAGCTTAAAGGAGGGGTAACGGGAGCGCTTATGGAGCCTCCAGGGATGTAGAGGTAATTAGGGAGTCTTGATGATGATGAAGCTGATGAGGATGATGTTGTTGAGAGGTGTTTCAGCCATGGGATGAGTGATTGGCCATCTCCAGAGGTAAGATTAGCAAAAGAGGATGAAGCTGGACTCATGAAGTTGGAAGAGGCTGGACTTGGCTGATAAGAGGAGCAAGGACTAGCGGTTGCTGAACCGCCACCTATCTCCATACGCTCTACAGGTCTACTACATCCCTGAAAGGAAAAAATTACACAAACATGGTCAGAAGAAGAGAAGAATTCATCAAAAATAATCTCTATGAATGATCAAGCTATTATTAAGTGTCAGTGATATATCTTTAATGTGAAAACTAGCTGAAACAACCAGTGAGCTAGCTAGGTCGTATAAGTTCAAATAAACAAAAACAGTAGTCCTATGTTTCTTTTTTAGAATCAATCAGGTCAAGGATTCCTGAACCGACAGATTATCATTGGACTCGATAATCGAAAATTAGAGTAAAAAGACTGGAGACATAAAAGCAAAAGTGCCCACTTGCTTCCCCAAAAAAATCTACAGATCAAAACGTACACTTTGAACTCTGTGCAAGGACATGATTTAATTTTATTTTTTATCAGTTTTTATTGAGATCTATGCATGCTACTTTGCTTTTCTTGGTTGGGGTATCATCTGAGAATAGACTAGACCTGACTGAACAACAAGTTAATCAGTTACACACACAACACCACGAAACAGAGAAAGAAAGAATCTTTCTTTTAGAGAGAAACGCAATGCATGATAAAAAGACACAGAGAAAGAACCCAACATTTGACTAAACCGCTCCTCTATCTATAACGCTAGCTAACAACCTACGCACAGAGGTCTCATCAGGAAACACATTAGCAATCCGGCCACCGGAAAAGTCTCCGGTGCGTGTTAGATTCGATCAGTAGTATCTGATCTCTTAACAAACAACAACAACAAAAAAAACCCGAATAATGTTGTGTATAGAAATTCAAAAAAATTCAAGTTATCAAAGCATAAAAATAAAAATGAGATCCGGATTTGGAGAGACGAAACGAACCTTGCGGTAAGTGGTGCCATCAAGCTCGACGATCCAACCAGCTTCGTTGCAGAGTGCTTTAAGCACTTCGTTGTTATCGCAATGCTTTGGAAGCTCGTAGTTACCGTACATTCTCAATCCGGTGAAGATCTTAGCTGCGATTGCTCTCCTTCGTCTCTCTCTCCTCTTGTTGTTCTCTCTCTCCCTCCACGTCGGCATTCTCGTCCCCGACGTCATCTTCTTCCTACTCCTCCGAGAAAACTCTCTCTCTCTTTCTTTAGCTTGATCAAAAGACACAATTCGCAGCGAGACTCAGACTTACTCAACCTCACAAAAGTTGCTGAATCTTCGGTGAACCAATATATTTATCAGATCTGGCATAAGCAAGCAAACGAATCGATACTGCGTGCTCCCACACTTTCCAATCTTCCGATCAGCTTAAAATATTAGATATGCAACTTGGCTTTTCCGCCGCAGAGAAAATGCTCCAACCGAGAAAACTCCGACGGCGAGGCAAAGAGTCGTGGAAACAGTTGCAGTAACTTTGTTGGCTTCACCTTCTTGGAATTGAGAGAGAGAGGAAGAAAAACAGAGGTGGTTTCAGATGAAAGCGGCGGATCAAGTTGCTATGAAAATCAGACAGGAGGTGAAGGTTTCAGGTGATCGGAAGGAGAGAAAGAAAAAAACCCGGGAATTGGAGAAGAAGATGAAGGGAGCTTCTTCTTAAGCTAATCATCATCAACTCTCTCCTGCCAGAGAAGAGGAGTTTATTATTACTTTCATAGTGAAAAAAGCCAAAAATAATGGTTTTGCAAGTGTACCATATTTACCCGAGATTTGACCCTATATTTACGAAAATTACCACTAGATGAGGTCACGCATGTCCTCCGGGACCTAGCACGTGGGAGCTTCTACCTTTACCCCGCGATTGGCCTTAGAATTACAAGTTTTGCCACAACTCGAGCTCCATTACCACGTGCTAAAGAGGTAGCGTTTACCCCTAAAACGTGATCGGATTAACGAAAACGCCACGAGACCGTTTTAGCTGACCTTGGGAAGTTTCGTTTTCACGTGATGGTGCGTCCCCGGCGTGACCCTGTGGGGCCCACCAACTGTTTTTCGCGTAGCACCGGTGGCTCGATTGGCTCACGTGGCCGCCGCGTCTCTTTGCCACCCACGTTCTCTCTCTCTCTCTCTCTCTCTGTTCAAACTGGTCGTTTTAATGCTTGCTGTTTCTTTCCAACATCATTAGCATTTGAGCAGAAGAGAGACAGAACTGGCCAGATCATCGGCGTTTCAGACATCACACAAATAACGGTCTTTTTCATTATAAAAACAACAATACTATTAAGTATCGTCACTTGATTATTGTCGCTGTTTCGTTTTCCACTGAATTTTGGTTATATTGATAAAACACATCTCAACATACATTATTGCGGGTTGCTATATATATCCAAAACGATAAAATAATTTAAAATACCATTTCTCTAGTTTTCGTGCTTATATTATTATTAGGGCTAGCTTATATAATTTGTAGAATATTTCTCAGCTTCAGAAACATTAATTTAGCAAGTAAAATTTTGATTACCATTATGGAACTAAACCGGAACTTAAACATTTGTGAACCGGAAGAACTCACAACCGCTTGGCTAAGAGTCTCAAGGTTTCCAATGAGGATTGAATCTTCTCGGAAAGCGCTATATAGAGGCATCTCTGAGCAGTTTTGTCTAGCTCCTGGCCAGCACAAGCGAGGACTGGCCATTTCGACTCTTGAAGAGTAGCAGTTACATGGCGGGTGTCCAGGACAGCAGTCTCAACCATCATGGGAACATCAAACTCAATTGGTTCACCAACCAAAACTTTAAGGTTTTTGTTGTGCAGCGGCACCAGCGGCCTTCTACCATTCAAGTAGTTCTCCGGCATCATCTAAATGGTTACAACAATGTGCGTAAGTACCATATTACTACCAAAAAGCAAATTCGAATTTTGGAAAATGGTGAATGGCTCATTCTTGTTTCTGCAGGCCTTTTAGCTATAGAAGTTTAAACGATTAAGTAGACTAAGATGGAGCATGTATGAGTTACCTCCTCAAAACCACGATGAATTATTGGCAATACGATTGGGGTAACTGGAGAGCGGGCGATGAGGCTTGCAGTTCCCCATTTTAGTCGTCTTATAGGAACATCTTCTTGGAACACCTTTCCTTCTGGGAAGGTATGCAGCTACTAGTCATGGTAATTAACAAAGGTTAGATGTCAGAAAACCTCAGAAAGAAAGAATCTCAGTATTTGTTTAAATGTGCAAGATAACTACCCAAGATCCATCTTTTAATCGCTGGAGAGCTTCGTTCATGTGTTCTTGGTAGATTCCACCACCTCTAGTTATAGGTATACATTTTCCTGTGCAGAAGAAATCATTAACATTCATCATGAGAAATTCATATTTTTTAAAGAGGTAACCACCAAATATACTAACAAAAATTGACGTCAAATCGACATAAGTCCAAATAGGGAAACCATACAGAACAAGAACAAATCACTAAATACAGTCTTTCACCTGAGAAGAAGCAATAAAGAAAATTTATGACATACCAGTGCGGAAAATGTAAGAGAAGATGGGGTTCCTGAAACATATGTCCTCAGCAGCAAGAACCCACCGAGCCAATTCTGGATCAAGGGAGAGGAGACCCTTGAACGCCCCCCACATTACTGGATCATCCAAACTGATTACAACGAAGAAAACAAATCAACACCAAAATACAAAAGTGGGTAAACTGTAAAGTGATTTTGACAACAAGAAAAGATCATATTTTTTGGAGGTTCTAAAATTAACTAACGTCGACATGTGATTACTAACAGTGATGAGAGGAACACCAGGTGGTCTTGACTGGACAAGATTCATAAGGTTATCTGCATTGTGAACTGAGCTTTTGTTGCCAAGATTCGCTACTGCTCTTGCAAACGCACTAACAGCCATTATCACAGTTTTCCTTGGAATTCCTCCCAAATGATCAGATCTTGCAGCCCATTCCATTATCCTCCCCATTTATGATGCCTCTTCCCACGAAATGAAGAAATCTTCAAAGTTCTCTCCTTTCAACGGATCATAACAGAAGCTCAAACTATACTTGCATAGAGGGCCGGTTCTGAAGTGCAAACCGGAAATTAGCATTTCAACCGAAAAAATCCGATGCAACGATTACATTACTAGAGCTCGTTTACTAAGCATAAGTCTCTGAGTAAGGACTAATCTAGTAAGATTTTAACGACAAAACAGAACGATTAGGGTTTATCAATCTCTTAACTTAATATCTCCTAAGAAGATCTACATTGAGACCCAAGAAAGAATTAGAGAAGGAAGAACACTTACGATTGGAATCGAGACCAAAAGATGCGTTAGAGGGAAATCGAAGAAGCTTGCTTGAGAGGATTCAGAGAGAGAGAGAGAGAGAGACAGGATGATGAAACAATTAAATGTGGTTGGTTTAATTCGGTACGGTTAGATAGGGACACCAATTTAAGGGATGAACCGGGATTATTATTTTATTTCTTTGACAGCATAACTGGGATTATTTGCTGTGACCAGTTTCCCAATTGTCGTCGACGAGTCGGTTGGCGAACTATTGACAGTCAAATTGTTATCAGGCCGCTACGCTTAATTGGGCTTTTGGTTAGCCCAACACTTAGAGACATACTTTAATTGAGTATAAAATTTTATCAAAAACTCAATCTGTCAGAGACTACTACATGAATACTTGTTTCTGCAAGCCTCATCGCCCGCTCAATCTGTCAGAGACTACTACATGAATACTTGTTTCTGCAAGACTACAATGAACATAAAATTTTAGTTTAGCAAAACAGAGGTTTTTTTATCTTATCAAGTATTAACACACTACTGAAACTAGTTACACATCGTCTATACAAAGGATTACACTGTCTGGTTATATATATAGACATCAGAGTTACAACAAATTCACATATACTAACAGAGTCGAGAACACAAATTTCACTGGACAAACACAAGAGAGGGCGACGTTGTTCTCAGAGAAGAGATCGTTGTTGGGTGAAAATGTAAACCTCATCGTAACCTCTCCTGCAAAATCCACCATGTTAGTTCATTCAAAAAATCGTTAAACCATACAGTAGGAAAAAAGAAGAAAGAAAATTATGTAAAATGTAGAGATTGTCAGAGTGGCTTTACCCTTCGTATCCACAGTATGTAGGGGCGTAGTTATAAATGAGATTGCTCAGCACTTTCTCAGAAGATGGTCTGTTCTGTGACTTCCTAGCTTCACTGCGCCACATTAAAAACTCAATCTGTCAGAGACTACTACATGAATACTTGTTTTTATAAATTCCAATGCTAACTACTTTCCTACTCTAGCAATCAGAGTTGCTGCACTCTCTTATAAGTTCTTGGCAAACCATGAGTAAAGAACAAAACCTGACTAAATAATTTGCAACGAGCTGAGTCACCTGGATCGCGTCCTCAGAGTGTGGGATGCTGGATAATCCCCACTCAAATGCATTTTTCTGCAGAGTATTGTAGGGAATTTTTCTTTTATATAAGCTGTACACCAATATACCATAATTTGTAGAATAACGCAATCGACCAGAGTCATAATTAGGCCTAGCCGAGAAAGGACTAAATGGGAGACGCAAGTTAAGTAGTGACTATGTACCTCAGGATGCCACTGGAAGCCCGTCACTGGATATTGTTTTGATTTAACTGTTGAAACATATGCCTGCAAATATATATAATGTAGATTGGTTTTATGAGGTTATACTCTAGAAGATTAAATCTGTACGGTTCTCAAGATCATAGCAATACCTTGTTGTGGTTATCAGTGCATGTTGTCACGATATTAAAGAAATTAGACAGAGCAATAGTGCGTTCAAAGCTCTCTGGTGATATACCATACTGGAAATTCATGATAATTTGTATCAGTATCAGCAAGTAGATAGAATGAGGATAATAACTATTCAAGAACAAGAAAATAGAGATGGCAAGAAAAACTGTCCAAGTGTAGCGGAAAAAAACTAATAAGAAGCTAAAGCTTAAAATGATCAACTCATTTAATAATGTCAAAGAATAACCTGATGTTTAAGTATAACTTGTCATGAATAGAGAATGTTTAAGTATGTTAAGCAACAAACATAGTGACAACTATAATCCACAGGATGACAGTGACGCAAATTAGAGGTTGCAAATACTAACCTGATGGTTCTGCATAACCAAACAGTCTGTACTAAGCTTGTTAAACAACTCTGGAGGGAATCTGCAATATGTGAAACATTACAATGATATATATGTATATATAGAATATTTTGCAAAACATGGAGGTATTATTATGTATACATCATGAAGCAGTATGCACCTTTCGAATACGGTTCCTTTGATATTAACATTTTCAATGAACTGGAGACTTGAAGCACAATTTCTTGCATCAACTTTTTCAAAGATGTCTCTGTTCTGTTACAAAAGCAAGGATTAAAGAATTTTGAAAGGAGTCTGCAGATTCTCAAACTGTACATACTATAGTATATTCTCAGCACAAAACTCATGATAGGGATAGCTAAAAGCTCCCTGCTTGCCTATCAGACGGCGTGAAGGAAATTAAAATCTCAAGTTATACTGATTCCACATTCTAGTAATCAGCTACATTCAAAGCATATACCTGACTAATGATCATTGTCAAGAGCTCAAATCCGAGGCAAATAGCATATAACGGAAAGTGCTCTCCAGCATCATTTCTTTCCAAGACTTTCTGACAGGATAAAAGAGAGATATCAATAAGATCATTGTATTGGAATGCTATTGTCCAACATCCAAATGAATTCATTTAAAACCAAGAACAAAAAATGTTAAGCTTACATTGAAGATTTTCTTGACGATTTCAAAATACAATCCTTCTTTAGCCCAACCACCAGTGAGTAACACACCGTTGACCAACTCTAGCTTCTGCAGTGATCATTGGCAAAGATGATGTAGAAAATGATATCAGGAAGAAGCAATCCAATTCTTAAATCCCTAAATTAACAATATCGTAGATTGAATTAGAGAATCGGCTGAGCTAAGCTAGAGTAACCTGGAAGAGAAGTTCTTCGGGCTCGTTATATATGAGCGGGATAACGCGTGCTCCACCAGCTTCAGCCAGTTTCACATACGACGCCACAACGTTCGACGCGTTCGTAGCATTGTTCAACCGACCCGACGCGCCGTCGCCTGGATGGCTCAAAATTCCGATAACCGGCCTGTAATTGAGGTTCGGATCAGACGCGGAGCACACAACAGGACTCCGCGGCGAATCATCAAGTCCGGTTTGGCTAGGGAGGAATATCGCCGCAGGCGACTCGGTGGCTTTCGCCATTATGATGATACCCTTAAACACGGATAGTACCAACGGTACTAACCAGACGAAGCTCCACATCTCAGAGGGAGAGGATGATCTGAGTCCGATCAACGGAAGTGAGACCGAGATGTGAATTATCTTAAAAGATCGGCTCTCTCTCTCTCTCTGACCAAAGCCACTTTTTCAAATCGAGAATATAATCTCCACCGTCCACGTGTTATGGAGTTCACGATTAAGCCATTTATTTGGTGTGGGTTTAATTGCCCATATATACTAATTTCCCAATACTGCTAAGTTTTTTTTTTTTTTTTTGGTAACAATACTGCTATAGTTATAATTACATGAGTCGTAGAAACAGAACAGACAAGGCACCTTGTGTGTAAAATGAATGATTTGATCCAACGTAACGACATTTTTATATTACAGGCAAACCCATTATCCCACTTGATGAGAAAAGAGATCTTTGTTACGTGAAAATGTAAACCTCGTCGTCACCGCTCCTGGAAAAACAAAAAAAAAACAAAGAGATAGATGATCTAATAATAATCTTTTGAGCATACAGCAAAAATACGTAAAGTCCAATTGTAAGGTGGATTTTTGTTTACCCTTTGTATCCGGAGTAGGTAGGCTTGTAGTTGTAGATGAGATTGCTCAGCACTTTCTCAGAAGATGGTCTGTTCATCGACTTCCTGGCTTCACTGTTCATCGACTTCCTAGCTTCAGTGATCAATAAGTCTAATGAATCTTCCTACATTCATCAACTGAGAACTAACCTGACTAGATAATTTGCGGCGTGCTGAGTCACCTGAATTGCGTCCTCAGAGTGTGGGATTTCGGATGAGCCCCATTCAAATGCATTTTTCTGCAGAGTGTATATATTTTAGAAGTAATTTTCTTAGAAAAAATTATCCATATAGAAATAATTTAGCACAGTGATACCACAGAGAAGAAGACTAATGAAAGACACAAGTGAAATTGTGTGTAGTAGTAACTCTGGATGCCATTGGAAGGCAGTCACTGGATACCGTTTTGATTGAATAGTTGAAACATACGTCTGTAAAGAAAGGATATATTGATCCGTTCAATGAAACTGTCAGGCTCTGAAATTTGTATATTATGGCTAATAGGAACATAAATTAATATACCTTGCCATCTTTATCAGCGCTGGTTGTGAGGATATTGAAGAAACTAGACAGAGAAGGGTTGCCTTGAAAGTTTTCTGGTGAGATAGCAAACTGGAAAACACTAACATATCATTTCAGCAAAGCAGAGAGAGAGGTGATAGAGAATAGAAGCAGAAAATAGAGAGGTATATTTCACATTCTGACGAAATTAGGGGCCTTGTGAGATACTAACATAGTGATTCTGCATAACCAAACAGTCTGTACTGAGTTTTTTCAACAGCTCTGGAGGAAATCTGCATATATGAAGCATTATTATTATTTATTGTGCTTTGGATCACTGAAAAGCTTAAGGCCTAGTTATATGCACCTTTGGAATACTGTTGCTTCAATATCAACATTTTCAAAAAACTGAAGACTTGATGCATAATTTACTGAGTTAAACCTTTCAAGAATGTCTCGGTTCTGTCACAAACACAAAGAAAGCAGTTAGAACTTTAAAATGGAAACTGCATATCCCTCTCTCAGCTCAAGAGTCCTGAAAAATGTAGCCAGTGTAGCTTAAATCTCCTCTTAACTATTAAGCCGTAGGAAACAAGAATTGTTATTCACTTAAGTTTACAGGTATGGAAGCTAGTTGAGCAACACGAGTTTCTCTGAGAAGCAAGAAGCCAAAGAGTGACCTGACTTATGATCATTGACAAAATCTCGAATCCGAGGCACATGGCATATACCGGAAAATGTTCTCCGGCATCGTTCTTCTCCAAAACTTTCTGTGAGAAGCATAAGGGTTTCAAAAGATGATTACATTGGATTTCAATTGTACAACACAAGAAGCAACAAATCAAGGTAAAAAAATTGCTCAGCTAACTAGATAGTGTCTGAAATTGTATATGGGAACTTACACTGAAGATTTTATTCACAATATCGTAATACAATCCTGTTTTAGCCCAACCACCAGTGAATATCACACCATTTACCAGTTGTAGCTTCTGCAAGTCCAAAATAAAATTCACGAGAGGAACATGGACTGATTTAACAATCACATTATAATAATCCAACATTAAACTAAGTTGAAATTGTAACACATCAGTGTGGGTGTGGCCAATCTCAAACAGAACAAAAGCTATACTGTGAGCAGAACCCAGACTCGGCAAGAGCTTAATCATGGGAGAGTAACCTGAAACAGGAGTTCTTCAGGCTCGTTGTAGATTAGAGGAATCACACGAGCTCCACCAGTCTCAGCTAACTTCACATACGAAGCTGCGATGTACGATATGTTGCTCGCATAGGCATAGCTCAGACTCAGAGAGTGACGACGAGCGTCCCATCTGCCGTCGCCAGGGTGGGTCAGAATCCCGATGACCGGCTTGTAGTTGAGGTTCGGATCTAGCGCAGAGCATACAGAGCTACTCCGAGAAGAATCAAAGGCGCGGGAATCGTCAACTCCGATATGACTTGGGAGGAGAATCGCTGGAATCGATTCGGCATATTTCGCCACATCTTAGAGGTTGAAGACGCACACGCCAACGATATCGGATTTAGATTTTTATTTATTTATTTAATATCAATCATTCTGTTCTGGAGGATCTCTCCTGTCAACTTGTGCAACACATCCTCTTCCCCAACGTCCATCCCATTGTTAAAAATTTAAAACAAAAAACGTGTGATTCAAATCTATCTTATTATTTTTGCAACACTTTTTTTGACCACTTTTTTCTAAAATTTTGTTTACAAAAAATGCCCTTCCCACTTGACTATACACAACTATTTCATTAAGGATAAAAAAGAAAATAACCATTGCGGGTCGGTTTAATTGTTTTGAAATCAGACCCGATTAAACAATATGGATACTAGCCTAATAACACACGTCAATAATTCATAATAAATACAAGAGTGTGAGCGCGTGGATTTTGGCCCAACGCATATGTTCATAATCAAGTGTTATAAAAACAAATGCTATTGGGCTTGCGATATATATCTATCTTAAATGCTATTTGCCTCTAAAGTTAAACAAATGCTATTGGGCTTCGACTACTAATATCATGGGCCTCAACACACGTTCATTATTTTTGCAAGATCATATTAGTCGTATATTGCATGCTATTAGTCGTATATTGCATGCTATTGAGCTTCCATACTAATTTTAATGCTATTGCCTTATATTGCAAGATCACGGTATTAATAACCATAATATTATAACAAGATAGATAGGTAATACCTCCCCAAGTTAAACAGGTCATTAATTTATGATAAACGTTTACTGAAATGGAAAGAGACTCTCATGGGTTTTACCATGCTATCCTGTAAAAACTTTTACAGGGGTAAAGGTAAAGTTAACCCTGGTTTACATATTACTAAGCAAACTTACTTCTCAACAGGAACAGTTTCCCCGACACTAGCTTCTGATGCTTCCCCTGTAACACCAGCATCATTTGAAGTTTCCCCTGTAACACTAGCATCCCCTGAAGCAGATTCTTCAGAAGTAGTAGCTTCTGGAGCAGGACCGTTCTTCCCCTTCGTCTCCTTTGCCTTTTTCTTCTCCTCCTTTGCCTTTTTCTTCTCCTCCTTGACCATTCTCTTAAAGTCGTTCTCCTTCTGCTTTTTCTCCCTCATCTTCTTTTCAGCTTCCTCCTCCTCCATTTTTTTCAACTCTTATTATTTTTGCAGCCACTTTTTTGACCATCTTTATTTGTCATCCTTTTAACACAAAATACCCTTATGTTTAGACATTTAATCAATAGTTATTAAGGTCAATTTTGTAAATCTTAATGTCGGGTCGGTTTATATTCTAAAATTAAGACCCGATTTCAATTTTCGGATACTCATTAATTATAAAATAAAAAATAACATAAAAAAGTAATCACATTAATTATTAGGTCGAAAATTTGGTAAGATTTGGAAATATTTTTAGCACTATGTTCAAATAAATTCTACTCAATAAATAAAGAAATTTAATTTTTCAAAAAAAAATACTTTCATAGTATTTCTTAATCGAAAATAATAATAAATTATTTTCATACTTATCTAATGGGGAATATCATAAAAATATCAAAATATCAAATAAAGATTTCCCCATTTCTTAATCAAAATTGAATAAAAATCGATATTAAAATTTTAAGTACATTTTGTGTTACTCCCTTTTGGTTTTACTAATATAAAAAGCTATTTATAAATTTAATCCATAAAATATTTCACAGATGAACAATAAATAATATATGGTAAAACAAATTGATTACTCAAATAATATACCTTAAAAATAAAGAAATCACATTGGTTTCTAAAATATCTCTGCTAATTTTTTTTAATATAATTTCCTAAATCAATATTTTTATCTATATTTAAATTTAGGATTAAATTCCTATCTACAGCATTATTTTTTTTCCTTTGTTTTTTTTTGGTCTCCAACATTATTTCTTTTCCTTTAAAATCAGTAAAGCTCAACATTTTTTCAACAAGAAATAAAAAATCAAATATT